TGTTGTCCTGATTAGGAAATTCAAGGCAAAGGGAAGATACTGGTTCATCATAGATTTTTTTATTCAACAGCTATAACAAGCTACAGTAAGCAAAAAATCGACTGTATCTGTAAGAAGAATCAATGAATTAATTTAAACAATAAAGTTTGTCGTTACGAGGAAGAAAAATTGATGCAAAAAGGTATTGCTTCTTCATTTATTCGATGTTACATCAGCTAAATGATACAACTTACCTGAGGTGAAAGCTTTCCATCTGTGATAAATCACTTGGGAAATAGTTGGCACATAGCACATACCACACATAGCACTGCTGGGAGGAAGAAGTGCCAGAAGGAGAGAATACCTGAAACTAATTTGATCATGCAGAAACTTAATCATTTTGAGGAACGCTATCTTTCATGGGTAAAAGCATGTAAAAAATTATTTAAGGACCACAATGGGAGAAGAAAGATCAAATATTATGGCTATTCTGTATTCTATATATAAAGGAAAACATTTTAAGCGGAATTGAAATTAACAACATTATTGATTCCTTATATATACAAAAGAAATATGTAAAACTTAAGTTTTTTTAATAAGTTAATATAATGTTTTTATGGTAAAGCTTTTTTAAAATAATTTTATTTTTGTTTATAACTTTATGAGATTTATCTTGGATATATATATTTTTTTATTGCCTAAACATTTATCCCTCTGGACGTTCATTTATCTTGATCCACTCCTGACTGAGTCAATATAATCAGATGCTACAATAACTTAATAGCATTGTGTAAATATAGTAAATTTTAAATAAATAACGGTCATGAATAATTTTACTGTACATATATGTGAAGTTTTGTATTGCAATGACAAATAATGAAGTATATTCAAGATATATATGGAAGATAAAAAAAACCTTAAGTTTTTCAAATATCAGTTAACCTTTTTGGCACATAAATGGAAACCAGATATCACACATCTTACATGAAGACCCTAAAAAGTGACTAACAAATAGAGATGATTTATCACTCCAAGACAGTTAACACTTACTGAAGTTATTTACATGTATGTTCAATAAATGAACCATTGTTTTTGAAATTATAAAATAATTTCTTTATATTATTTATTCTAATTTTTTTTCTTCCCAACTACCTGAGATGGAGAAGGTTTGTTTTCATGAGGAAGATTAACAATTTTTTAACTTTCAGAATCGAAAATATTCAATCTTTTAATACCTTCATCAAAGGATAAATGTATTTTCCTTGATATATTTATATTTAATCGAGTCAGTTCTGATATACGGCTATGAGATCTGGACACTAATCAGTACCTTAGAAAGAAGTATTGCAAGATTTGAGAGAAAGATCCTCTGTACAACAACTGAAGCAATCTGGGATTGAAAAACAAAGAGAAGAAGGACCAATAAAGAACTGTTACAGAAATGTGTCAATCAGGATCACATAATATGAAAGCAAAGAAGTCAAGATGGGCAGAGCATGTAGCTCAGAGCGATCCATCGGGAAGTCTTTACACAACAAGTATTCATGAGACCACCTGAAAAACCAATAACCAGAAGGGTAGAAAAATCAACAAACATGCAATAGAGCTGCATGCAGATAAATGGAAAGAAATAGCCCAAGATTGGCAGAGTTGGGAAAATTGTTAAGATGGCAAAAATTTTCAAAATTAGTAATTCCAACAGAAAAAACAAAGCAAAAAGCTTATTTAAAAAAAAAAAAAAAGGCTTATTCGATTTAGCCCAAAGTTATAGGATATGTGGAGGATAATGTAAAAATGATCAAATAAATGTTTCATCTTATTCCATTTAACAATTCAAATAAATTTAATTGTTAAGATTATACCTAATAGCTGTGAAGATATGGAATGGGATGTTATATAAGTTTATAACTTAATGCAATTTATTTGGCTTTTTTTATTGGAATATTCTATTAAATTATCAAATAAAATTATAATCTTAACACAGACAAATAAGCAATAAAAATGTACCGGAGATAGTTTATATTCAAGTTTAGTGGCACTAAAGATCTAAATGAAGAGAATACATTTTCCGAAACATTTTTAAGTAAACAACTAATACGGTAAATTTATTTTTCCTTACTCAATAAAACTGATATAGCTAATAAAACTCTTTTTACCAAGCAGACATTTTTTATCTGGTTTCTTCAATTCAGTATATTTAAAATTATGGAAATGTAAAAAGTAAACAAGTGAAAACTACTTCTATAAAGAAAATCTAACTCAAAATCTAAGGATTTTAAAACAGTTGAACAGTTGTTCTTGTTATATTAGTAAGCAGTAAAAAAACAAATGGATGTTTAGTTTGAATTTCCCTTTAATAGGCAAGAGTTATTAAACAATGCGAATGCTACTATTGTCTTAGACTAGTTACATAAATCCTAATTTTTGGCAAACATATATTTTTCTTTTTAAATTATTTTAATATGTATAAAGTAACTTGATATATGTCGTCTGATTAATTTATATGTTTTAACATTAATAAAAAAACTTTCACTGTTAAACAGTTGAACATGATAAACTTTGAGAAAATATTCTTCTATGAAATACAATACAATAAGAATAAGGGGAAAAATATTATTAAAGAAATAGCCAGTGAACAATACATTATCCTTATCTTTTTTAATTTTTGTTTTAATTATTTACAATGGAAAATTAATGTGGAAGTTTCATGAATCAAATGTTTCTACAGTCTCTTTTACAATCACTAAAGCATTCTTCAGAATTAGTGAAGATGCTTATTTTATGTTGTTGTTTTTCTATGATACTTTATGGAAACTTTTAGAATCATTTTATTTAGTACTTTCCTCCATATTTTATAAAGCTCATATTATAATGGCATCGTCAAGGATAAGATCACTTCACCTCCAGACCATTTAGAAGTAACTAAAAATGTTTCAATACTATAAATGTTACAAATTTCCTTGACTGTTAAGATTAACTTTTAAAAGCTATTTAGACATATTCAATATTAAAAAAATCAAATGATTTAAAAATATATAGTACATAAATAAGCTTTTACACCTTAGCTTATCAATTAAAAATGAGCTTTAATTTGAAGGCTGCGTCTGTAATATGTCATTGCTGGTTTGAAGAAAACCAGCCATTACAAATGAAAAATATAAATAACATTTTAAACAAATAAAATAACATTGTATATTTTTTCAAAATTTTTTTTTTTGAAAAATTATGAAATTTCCTATTTTCTAATCATATCTTATAGGTTCGGTGGCATTTTTATTTTTTTAAAAGTTTTTTATAAAATATCCAAATAACCAAATGTACACAGTTTTCACATCATCTATTATTTATTTGATGTTTCGGCTTCAAATGCCATGTTCAAGATCCTGCAAACTAATTTTAATTCAGTTGTTATACTTCAAACTACATCATTATAAAACACATATTAATTCAATAAAAATCATTTATATAAATAGTTCAGATTCTATTTTACAAAAATGTTTTTATTACATAGCATTTCGGTTAAAATGTAAAAGTTATGATCTCAACGTCAAATAAATCAAACGAATAAATAATACATGATGTAAAAACTGTGTACATTTGATGACCTTTGGCCTAATATTTTATAAAAAACTTAGGAAATTTTCAATTTTTTTCAACTCAAGCACTATTGAAGAAAATAAATTCCAAAAAGAACTTGCTTGCTGTTTTTTTTAGCTTATTTTAAGTATCTACTATAGGTACTAAAGCTATTTAAAATAAATATGTGTTATAATTTCCAGAAAGTATTCAAATATAAGTATTGCGGAAGATTTCCTCAAAATTACAATTTAGAAATAGTAACTTTTATACCTTTATGAGAAATATATTCTATTAATTTCTAACCATAAATTATTTTTTTATTTCTTATGAAAACTATGGGGTACCTCCTGCTGCCTAACAGCGCATACCGGATACCCATTTTACAAATTATACAACTGTTTATTTAGTTGTACTACTAATTCCTCAAAGTATAATACTATAATTTACCTGTATTCCAAAGTTCAGATTGTATTACTTTTTATCAACATAAAATAAAATGTAACGAAACACAGTTTGGACAAATTTTTAATATCTTTAAAATGCTATATTATACATTGTGCCTTATTGCCAATTTATATTATTACAAAATTATAATTATTCTTTTTACCAATTCATTACCATTATTAGAGAGAAATAATTCTGTGAAAAAGAAGTGTGGTGTCTTTGTTACAGTCCGTCCCATTTTGTATTTGTAAAAGAAAATATGACAGGGATATTAAAAACTTTTTTATATAATAAAGAGAAAAATATAGGTTATGTTGATAATTTAATCTATGTATATATTTTTTATGAAAAAAAATGTAGGTTATATTTAAAATTTAACCTACTGTAAAAAGTTACTGTATAATTTGTAGCTAATTCAAAATAATTATCAAAATATCATTGGCTGTATTGAATAAAGAATAAAATGCAATAAAGTTTCATATTTTAATTGTTTATTTTCTCAGATTTTATTAGTCTTCTTTTATTTTTTTTTTATTTTTTATAAAATTTTTATATGCATATTGACCACAGCCATTTTTAAAAATTATGATGATTTTTAGTATTTGAATAATTGACTAATATGTTTCAAAGAATGGGTAAAGCCATTTTTTAATGTTTTTTCAACTATAATTTTTATGCTGTGTTGTAATTTCATTTTTTTTTTTTGTTTCATTTGTTTTTGTTTGTCACAATTCAGTACTCCACTAAATCTCTTTTGGCAGCATTCATGAAATCTGGTCTTTAAAACTAAAATAGACTCAAATATCTAAATTCATTTTTTGACCTTCTGAAATCTGCACAACAAAAAAATATTTTAAATTAGTCACATGAATGTTTACAATTAAATACAGGCTTTTAGCCAAATGTTTATATTTAGACAGATTAGTACACATTTGATACTCAGTTTTATATGTACAGTTGATTTATCAATATAAAAAGTACCTGATAATTTAGTTACAATGAATATTGGTGAATATATGGACAAAGGTGTTATATGTGAGTTGAAAGGCAAGTATACGCTGCACTGGAATTACAGAGGTCTCTCGAAGTTGCCCGTTGAAATTCTCTATCATGGTGGACATGTTCAAGAAATGTACCTGAAGTGTAATGATCTGAAACAATTAGTGAGTATGAAAGGTTATCATGTTTGATTCGTCTATAGTAATGCCTAACAATAAACATTCAGTCCAACATTTCAGCCTGTTTGGTTGGATAAGCTAGAAAGTTTGAGGCATTTGTACCTACATGGGAACAGGATTTCTGAACTGCCTAAAAGCATCGGAGGCATGTTATCATTGACTACGCTCGATTTGCAAAACAATTGTTTATGTGATTTGACACCTTCCATTGGAGATTTGAAGCATCTTAAAGTTTTGAATCTGCAATATAATTATATAAAGAAAATCCCCAAAGGTATGTAGTAAATATTTTTTGATATTTAATAATTTTGAATCAAATAGAGTATCATAACTACATATTCATGAAATATATTTTTAATCAATGGATCGTTATTTTCAGAAATTGATGTTGATTTTGACATGTTCTTATTCAAGTTTTGTGGAAACTGATTTTTAAATTATTTTACAAATTTCTTCTTACCAGAGTTGTATTTTTTTAATAGTCATTTCATAATTTTAATTATCATGACTTTTGGAAAGGTTTATTTTACTTTGTGCACCTATAAAATAGTAGTTATATTTATTTATTAGTTGTTTGAATATTATTTGAAAATAAGCTAAATATAAAAGTATTCACCAATGTTTAAAAATATTTCGATCTGTTCAGGGTCATGAAGTAAAACAAAAATGAGAATTGGGTCATATATTTTAAATATTCTTAATTTGAATCTATTATTTTAAAGTTAAGGGAAAATAAAATAACCTTCCCCTTTCTGTTTTACTACTTGTTGGTGTTTATCAGATGTTCTTTGATTAGAATAAATTTAACTACATGTGTAAATTGACATTTTATTTATTGGGCATTTGGAATTACTACTGAACATTTTAAAAGACTCAGAGAAATGACAAAAATGTTTTGAAGAAAACTATCTCTGAAGCAATGAATTTAAGTAATTCAAAGTAATCCATATGTTTGAAATAAAAAATCATTTTGTGATCTCATTCTTTCTTATTGAAATTATTATTATGAAAAAAAAAATCAATAGATTTATTATATTACAAAAATAAAATGTATTCTTTTATTTTGATTTATTAAACAGATATGTCTTTTATTAATAAATTTACATAAAATGTTAACCTCAGTAAGCACGATATGATCTTCCATCTTACATTAAAAATTCATAATAATTGGGAAAATGTTTAAAAAATATTTAAGATGAAGAGATTATGTTTCAATTAATATCTTATTATTGAAACATAATCATAAGATTTGTGAGATCCATATTTCTTCTTATTACAAAAATAAAATGTATTTTTTTATTTTGATTTATTAAACAGATATGTCTTTTATTAATAAATTTACATAAAATGTTAACCTCAGTAAGCACGATATGATCTTGCACCTTACATGAAAAAATCAAAATAATTGGAAAAATGTTTAAAAATATTTATGTTAGAGTGCTACCAATGGGTAGTTTCTCAACAAGTGTGTTTCATGTTATTATATTATTCTGTACACATTTACTTGATGTATTCATACTAATACAGTTGTAAATATTATAATAAAAGTTAAAAAAAAATATATTTAAGATGGAGAGATTATGTTTCAATTAATATCTTATTATTTAAACATAATCATAAGATTTGTGAGATCCATATTTCTTTTTATTTCTTCATTTTGCTTGGACCTACTTCTACTCAACCATTTATACACCTGTCATAGGATAAACAAATATGGGTATGATCCGTGGGAATCCATCCATTACCCGTAGGGAATGACTGACAGTCAAATATTTGCAATCCTTTCCTATTATAGTTTCGATTCCTTGGTACGGCTTCACGATGTCTGAAATAATAATACTTTCAGCCAGAATTGATGAATGCCCTCATAAAATATCTTAGCTCTCCTATGACATGAAGGAAACATTATTTTGCTTCACATTCAAATTCAAACAAAAATTCACTTCTGAGGATAAGTATATCCACTTAATTTTTTATTAGACCATTGCCACAATGAATCTATCTCTGCCTATGACGTCTGGATTCCATGGGACTGTGGCACATACTTCCCTCAGATAATTTTTACAATCTGTTACACTATTTGGGGTCATATTGAATTTCTTAGATAAAAACTTTTGGTTTTATATATAAATAAAATGGTTATATTTAATTTCAATTTGGTATTGTTAAACCATGTTCCAGAGAATTTTCCCTAAATCTTCTCAACTATTTCCTTTTGAACACCTCCTTTTGTCTTCCATATCAGTAAATTTTTTTAATTCTCTTTATTTAGAGTTTGCTTGACTGTGAAGAATACCATTAGATATAAAACAAGACCTTGTACTTATTTTATCTTTTGATTTTTCATATAGCTCGAACAACCTCATTTTTCAGAATTATATTTGTATTATCTGTAATATATGTTAGTTGAATATTGTATTACCTTGTTATCAATATTATGTATCAATGTAATTTGTTAATAATTAACTGGTGTACCTATTCTATAAAATACCCTAAATGTATTCTCCATTTTTTATTTTAGAGATCAGAAAGTTAAGATCACTTCTACTTCTGAATTTGAAGGGAAATCAGTTACATGAAATTTGTGATGAAGTGTGTAGCTTGAACAGCTTAAGAGAACTTATTCTTGATGAAAATAAAATCACTGCACTGCCGAACAACATAGTAAGTATGTAACATTATATTTTTATTTTAATGAAAAATTTAATATTTTTTAGTAGCTACATTTTTATTCTTTAACGAACAGAGAGATGGAAAATTAAAATGTACACTGGGAGATAACTACCTTCCTAATATTAATTAATTTCTTATCATCTTATAACAGGAATTTCAACTTGTTAAAGTTTCAAATGAATATAAACAGAATGATTAATATAGAATAAAATTTCAATTAAGATTAATAGCAAGGTTTATGAATATTTTTAATTTTGTAGGCTGTCACAGAAATTTTTAAACTGTTTCTTTCTATTTCTCTCACACACACACACACACACACACACACACACACACTCTCACTCTCACTCTCTCTCTCTCTCTCTCTCTCTCTCTCTCTATATATATATATATATATATATATATATATATATATATATATATATATATTATATTTTTATTTATATATATATATATATATATATATATATATATATATTTTGTTGTTCAACTCTTGGAATAACTAATAACTGATTTTCAAACTTACTCTCTCATAAGCTGTGGATACCGTTGGTTTCGTAGAGGATTGATATATTTGATTGGATATTTACATAGACAGTCCTTGATCATTTTGGGTGTGTTAGACAATTATAGTAGACCCTATGATGATTGTAGTAGAACTATGATGAAGAATTGATTTTTATAAGAAAAATAGATTGGATGCACGTACCGAATAATATTTCTCTGAAATGAATATTATACTGGTATTTCCAGAATTAAAAGACAAAGCTTGTACAAACAGTATTAGTCCGTGGTATAGACCCCTTTTTATCAAATTATTAACATCCCCCTGAAACTTCGTAAATAGTTTCATTTCATAGTAACCTACAACTATTTTATTTACGAAAACTTTTGGAATTGGGATGTTTTAAATCTGGATGGAGGCAAACTTTGTCTATTTCATTAGACACTAAAAACTCATAAATACTGATTTGCTTTCTACTTCGATCCTAAGATAATTTGATCACAAAATTGAGAAAAAAGGTGTCCTTTAAAAATATTGAGCCGTTTGGTGTGAACTACACCCCCAAATTTTCAAAATAACGAGGTTATATAAGACATATGGCTCAATATTTTTGTAGGCCACCTTTTTCTTGATTTCGAATTACTTTAAGATCCAATTAGAAAGCAAATGAAAATTTACGAACTTTTAGTACCTAATTAAATCGACAAAGTTTGCCCCCCTCCAGATTGAAAACCCCCCAATTCCAAGAGTTTTCATAAATAAAATAGTTGTAGGTTACGATGAGATGGAGCTATTTACGAAGTTTCAGAAGGATGTTATTAATTTGATAAAAAGGGATCTGTACCACAGACTATACAGTATTTACACAATATTAAATTTTATATTGTAAAGATAAATTTGAAATAAATTACAAATGACTATCAATTATATTATACAGAATGGTGAAAAATAGCTATTAAAATAATAAAAATTATTAGATGAATACAATAACAATAACTAAAATTGAGAATAAATGTTGAAAGCTCCAAGCTTGTTAAATTAGACTTTTATTTAATATTCTTTTCTGGTTTCATTACAGCACGCAGATCTTATGCCGCCTCAACCAGCCTTCTCTGCCTATCTTGGGCTATTTCTTCCCAGTTATCTGCACACAGCTCTATTGTATCTTTGTTGATTCTATCTATGCATCTATTTTTTTTGCATTTCACTTGGTCTTTCGTCTTCTATTGAAGCATTCATTGTTATGTAGAGGATTCTAGATGGATTGCCTGAGCTAAATGCTTGGATGTGCCCATCTTGATCTCGCTGCTTTCAGATCATGTGATATCGATTGACCAGTTTCTGTAAGCAGCTCATTATTGTTTTTTATTTTCTCCATGCCCAGATCTCCAATTATCGTCAGGAGGATTTTTATCTCAAATCTTTCAATACCTCTTTCTAGGGTCTTGGTGTCATTCTATATCTTTGTCTTTTCATAATATCATCATTTCAATATAATATCAATTTTTTTAAGTGATTAAGAGTTGATCATTGGAAATCATAGTAGATTTACTGGTTTCTTTATAATAGAAGTCCAATTTATTAAACTTTATGAAAATTGTAAATCGAATTGACTTTAATATGTCCTAATTTGAAAATATAATAGTTCTTTTCTTTACTTCCCGCTCTATGTTATTTTATATAGTTACTATATCTGAATGGGGTTATAATCAGCAATAAGGGTTTATGATTTTATGAATGATTTTGGATATGTTTTACTATTCAAGGAACTACAGTTTTCAGAATTATGGTTGGATTATTAATAAGCGTATGGTTGTTGAATATTATATTAAGTTTTTACTTTCACTTACGTATATATGAAATATACAGTAAAGGAAAGTATTGCTATAGTGAAAATTTTGGAACATAAGTTTTCAACGGAAATACATGTTTGAGGTTCCCTGAGTCCAAAAAACCAAGTCCCACAAAATGATTTGTGTGGAAAATGAAATTGCATATTTAAGATTTTTATATACCTGAGATATTACAGCAACTTTTTCGTCAAAATCGGGTGACCGGAAGTGGCATTTTACATAATCAATTTAACACATTTTATGATTTTATCAAAAATAGCTCTAATAATTTTGTTAAATTCGTGATATCGGTGTAAAAATTAAGCTTTTTTTTTAATATAATGTAGGTTTTATTCTCATTGATGTTCTCTAACACAGCTTAAATGGCTAATTTTCAATATTAGCTTCTCCTAAAGTACCTTTAATTTTTTTTCTTTGAAACAAGTAACCATTTCACATTGATCTGTGATATAAAAAGTAGTTATATATAAAATATAAAAGAATTTGATAATTAACTAAAGGAGAAATAAGATATCATAACGGAGAATAGTTGTAATGGAGGAACCAAAGGAATACGAACTAACCAGAAAGATTAGAACAGGCTTCCATACCTAACATGAGGCTTCCATACTTAATATAATATTATATACGTATACATGTGCACTTTTCATAAATTCTATTGTTGGTGTTATTTAATATTTAACTGTATAAATTACAGCGATATAAATATTAAAATTTGTATGTATAAGAATACTTAAGCAAATAAAAATACCCACAATGAAATGTAAATAAATATAGTGTCTATAATTGTTTACTTTGATTTCCCTTTTGTCTGAAAATACTTACTTCTGCTAAGAAGAGGGTGGTAAATAAAGTTGTGTGATGCACACACCGCACCAGATTTTTTAAAATATTGTGTATCTATGTAGTTACTCAAAAGTAACTAATGTACCTATTCTATAAACGATCTAAACAAGCTCTGATGATTGCAATACTAATATCTCGTTTATTAATATAATAACAATTTTTGATTGATTTTTCACGTTTGTAGTAAATAGTTGGTATAAACAGAGAATTTTGTTAATTAACATATTAATTTATTTTCAGGTGTACATGCCTAATTTATCGTACCTTTCACTAGATGGAAATCAGCTCAAATACTTACCTATGGTAAAGTTTTTGAATAAACCCATGTTATCAATTGCAAATAATAAGTACTTAAACTATGTGTCGTATGATTTGGGTTGTTCGATGACGTCCCATAGTACAATGCTGGTCAACTGCGATCTTTGGCACTTCAATTGTGCTGGGTAACAAATATTTGAATATTTTAATTATTAAAAAAAAATTAAATTTATATTAAAAAAAATATATATATATATATATATATGTATCAAATAAAATGCATTTGTGCATTTTAATTTTAATACTACATTACATATAAAATGAAAAATAAAACTAAAAAAATTTTATTTCTTTATATCTCATTTTTCCTCCACATTTATTTTTTTGAAATACCTAATATTACTTAGAAGTTTGATTTAAATTTTAGTCAATATTAATAATAATTTATTTCTTATTATGTTATTTTTAAATAATAAATTTATTTCTTCTGATTTATAGGTGTTTTAAAGAAAATTTGGATATTTCCTGTGGCAACACTTTAGAAATTCCTTCATTTAACACAAGGATAGCTCTTCCACCCATGCTGAAAAAAGTTTATGATGAGAATACCAAATTTATTCCATCGTTGTATGAACTAGCACTGAGGATAGGATATTCATTGTATTTTTGTATTCACGACTTGAGAGAATGTTTGTGTACAGAAGATATCGAAAACATACCATCGGAATTAGCGACAATGTTTTCATCTGGTCCAGTTGCATCATGTCAATATTGTTCAGGGCCGATTTTTACAGAAGCAGTGTTGTGGGTATTCCCACGATATTTACTCCACATAAAACCAGAGTGGCCAGAATTCTTCTTGGCAGTTATGTGTTTCTGCACACAGAACTGCAGTCTAAAGTTTATCGATAATGAAATTTTCATCAAAGAATATAATGAAAGAATGAATGTAGAACTTATTAAATGGAGTATTGGTTAAACGTACAAATAAGGTTGTAGAATTCCTAAAAAAAAAAACTATGCGATTTTTGAACTTTTCTTCGAACTAAGAATAGACCATGAAATGACAATAGTTGTTATAAATCTATGAATCGATTTGATATAATCAGAAATACAAACAAAAACAATGATTTTTATTACATTTTAGAATGATCACGACAAAATATATAACTTATTGTTTGAAAGGAAAGAAGGAAATTGATTTGGTTTCTATAAAGAAAAAAGAGGCTGTTTCATGTGAAATCTTTTTAATATAATTAGTATAAATTTGTTTTTAATTGGCCTTAAATATTTTATGAGAAAAAAAGAAAGTATTTTAAGAAATAACTTATCAGTATTTTATTTATTAACTTTTCTCATGTCAATCTTATTGTTGGGACTATTTATGATCATGAAGTTTTTCATGATCCTCTTTTATGGAAGAAAAAGCAGATTTGTCTAAAGAAACATAATGGTACGTATTGAAAATAATTATTAATTATTGTTGTTGTTGAAGCTTAACTGTATGTATGAAAAAAAGTATAGTTTTTATTTATTTATTACTTTATCTATTATATCGCTGTTGATATTTTTAATTTTTAGACGAAGTGATTTTGAAAATTTCTATTTGTTTTAACACTTTAAAGAACATAAACATACGATTTTAAATTTTAGAAACAAGCAGCACGATGTTTAGATGAATTTTACCAAAATGGCGAAATGGAACCAATAGAAAAATAATTATTCTTATTATTTTTTTAAATGCATAAATATAACAAATGAATTGACTCTGTGATGAGATTATTATTAAAACAGATTAAATTTTTTTTTTTTTTTTTTTAAATTTCTTTATTGAGTATTATAACAATCTGTCTGTTGGACATTGGTTATAGTGAGGTAGGATGACATTCACACCATATGTACAAAAAAATAAAATAAATAGAACAAAATAATAATCAAAAGTATATACAATAGACAATAAAATAAAATAACCTAAAAAATAAGAAAATTAAAACTAAGGGAAAAAAAACATGCATACCTATATACAATCAGGCGAGGGAACTCCAGGAGAACCCTGCGCTACTCTCCCAACCGCGTCACTGGTACTAAAGCCAGCGGAGAAGATTAAATTTAATTAAAATTGTTGTTGATCCATGTTTTATGGCCCTAATTTGATGTTTGATCTGATCGATTTGGTGTACTAGCGATGCTTAAAATTATTAAATAAAAATTACAATATAAAATAAACTTAAAAGAAAATAATTGATTTTCGTTCCGATAAATTTTTAAGTAAATTTGTATCAGTTAAAAAAAAATCAAAGAAGGGTGAATATTTTATTAGTAAATAGTTTATGACAAAAGAGCAACCTGAATAAAATTAATGGTTATTAAACAAGAAGAATTGCAAGATTAAGACAAATTTGGATGTTTCACTTTATTTACTTGATTCTGAGTGCTCAATGTCTCTTTTACCATTGATACTTGAATGCCTTAGAACTTATTGGTAAAATATAGACTTATAAATATTGAGCTCTTCTATGAGAATTGCTGGAGACTATTAGAGAGGATGAAAAGGAAGAGTGGTTTAAGACACATTTTCAACGATTCTGAATTTATAGAATTTTACTTAAACTTTTCTCTCAAAAAGGAAATATCAGATAGTTGGCATTCCATGTGGGATAAGATCCCACCAAGCAAATTGGAAGTTATTAAAAAAAAAAAGCAGGGACATCGCAGAGAGGTTACCATAACCAGGCTGAGAGTAGGCCATACATACTTAACACACTCATGCTTTATCAGTAAACAGACTCCATCAAGATGCCAACATAGCAATAACTCTCTTAGAGTCGATCATATTTTCCGAGAATGCCCTTATTACGCTTCAAGCCGAAATAGATCATCTCTGAGATCTGGTAGATCAATAATATTAACTAATCATGAAACCGATACAGAAATGGTATTAAAATTTCTTTAAACTCATAGAAAATTGAATGAAATATAGAAATACATTTAGAAACATGTATTTTTTCCTCTTCTCAAGAGTTTTTCAACTTTAGAGAGCAACAATAAATAAACAGACGTTTATGACTTGGGTTTTACAGTTTTAAATTCAATCAAACAAACAATTTTATTTCAACATAACTTTTAATCAAAGGATATATCAAAATTCAATTGATTCTCTGCAGAAATTTCTGGAAATACAACCCAAGAAGAAGAAGTGAATCTCAAAAGTTAACAAAAAAATTATCAACTTACAATTTCTTATTTATTTACTTTTATAATGGTTAAGTCTTTTTAAGATGATTAAGATAAAGCAAAAATAAAATCTATACAGTAATACTTCACAATTACCATTAATCTAATTTCATATCAATATTCTGATGAATCTCTACACAATATCAGACTTTGGAAGTCAACACAATAATTTTGAAATACTTATTGTTTCTCAAAATGAAAATGAATTGACTTATATCAATCTAACTTTTATCCTCTCATGTTCATGAATATTACATTTTTATGGATACTTTAAACTCATTTATAGTCTCTTATATTTTTATATCAAAATAAAACATTCTGAATGAAAATTTGTATTTTTTTTTCTTTCTGATTTGAGTTATGGATAAGCAATTAATTTCAAAAAGTAAACAGATACTTTAAGTTTTTCTTCTGTAAACTTCTGGGTTTCATTCCAAAAATAAAAAGGCTAATAATCTAAGCTAAGAGCAGACAGATTACCCACATTATGAGGAGTTCATATACAGGCGGAAAGGTGCTGTAGGCCCTAAACATTTTAATCTGAAAAGAAGAGAAGGAACTTAGGATAAGCTGCAGCTGCTTCGAGGATCGCCTTCAGGTGGAAGGAGGAAGGATGGAGAAAAGGAATGGCTTGGGCCTGTAGATAGCCGTCACAAGTCTATACCTCAGTTCCCACAATAACAATTGTAAATAATAAATGTTAAACAAATTTTAATAAAATAGACCTGTGCTGCTAGCAATGGCATACGTATATACCCAGCGTAATACCCCTTTGCTATTACAATCCATATTGCTTGTAAGGCAAGGCAGGGAGAAACGTCTCAATATATATATTAAGAAATTCAATATGTCAAGTCATATTAACAAAGCTTTGCGTCGCATATCATAAATAAACGATTGGTGTCCCATTCTTGAGGGTGTAGATGTTATGAGTAATTAATTTATAAGAACGTTGGATGAGAAGACAAAGATTTTCAATTTCTTTTTTAAGGGCTTGGTAGTTTTTTTTTTCACCCATGCGGAGTTTTGGCAGCAATGGGTTAATACGTTAGGGTTTTCGTATTCCCACTGTTGCCAATAAACATTACTTTATTGATCATTTTTATTTTTATACAATAATCATGGATAATATAATTTGAGAAACAATAAAACCGCTGTGTTAATTGTAAGGTTTGGCACTGAAAAGACTAAGTATTATGGACGTAACAAAAGACCATGCCATCAGCAGTGATAACATTCCGAACAGGGGTACCCATCCTTCCCCTTTCCAAAAATTGTATTTCTCTCCTCTTTTTAAAAACAGTGGAAGTGAAAGTAGCATTAGACCAATCATCGATCATATACAACTACACTTCCTGCGGTTTGTCTCATCCTTTCCTCCTAGTTCTCTGTTTATAAATTTTTCACTCCGAAAATTCATATCTCCGCCGGAATGTGTCATCAAAAATTTTGATAACAATGAAACCCCCTTCGGGGTATCCCTGATTTCGAATCACCTAACATGAGTCTTAACGAAGTAGCGAACATATTTATTTTCTATACATAAGTTCTTACATCATATTCAAGGTGGAGTTTTTAAAACATGAATGAGAAACCATATGCATTTTTTAACTTTACTTTGAAGGCCTCCTATGATTTTTGTAATAGTACTTTGTATTTGGAAATATTTTTACATGTTTCCGTTCAAGTACGTATTTTTTATTAACAATAATTACTTTGTTGAATCGATCTCATTCTGTAAATAACTATTAACAGCTGTAAGAAATATATTTTATTCTTAATCAATTTTTGTTTCTTTTATTTATTTATTTTTTGACTCCCCCTTTTAGTCTTCTCGAATAGTATGAATTCATACAAAGATTGGACATATCTTCATTAGATAATAAATTTACTGAGGGGGAAAATGTTCAAAAACATTGTATGCTCTAACTTTGTAAGACCTATTGCACGAAATAGATTATTGCAAATAAGATTATGTTATTCCTCAGTAAAACAAATCTTGAAGGAAAAAATAGCAAACTACCTGGATAAACCAGAACGTCTTTGTTGTGTTTGGAGGAATTTTCTAGAATGGAATCCGGACCTGCTTGGGAGAGGAAACGAAGAATTAATAAACAAATTAAAACAAAAAATGATTGAAAAATCAGGTGGTGATATAAATATTGAAGAAGAAGTGAGTAAACGAGTACATTTCTTATTTCCTCTCCCTCGTCTAAATTTATATCATATAGATGATGATTGGACCAGTTTGAGTTGTCAAAGTGGTACTTTTCCCTGAAGGTGTCCTGCAGCTTATTTTGAAATGTTGGCATAAATTAAGCAGTTTCATATCTGCCTGAACTACTCATTATCATATGCTTCTTATCTCCATTGTAATAAACTTCATATTGCTATCGATCAGCTGAAAGAGGATCATGATAAGATATGTATTTGGATTGGGAATAATGATTTCTTTAAACTTAGAAAACGCTAAACTGATTTTGATAGAGATATCTGGACACATCTCTCAAATGTCCCTTGATTTAGTTTCTGTCTCATTAGAGTTCTAATAATGCTCTCATTTTCTTTTTATGCGCAATCCTCATTTCTTAGTTCTTTTTCTCTCACTACATTAACGGTTGTCTGCCTCAGTTCACTAGATGCGGCAGTAAAAAATGAATCAATGATATGCGCAGACTTATCTGGTTGGAGGGGGGAATCGATGATCCTCCTCTCAAAAAATATGTTTCAGGAACTTATATCATGTATACAAATTATGCTTATTTTTCTGGGATAAAACTACTTAGCTCGCGCATCTTGTTCCGTAACTTAAAAACTAAAATCGATAAAACCATTATCTTACATACAGTTGGCTGCTTATATAAAGGCATGAGCAACGTGTTAAGTTTTTTGAAAAAAAGGTATTGCGTAGAATATTCGGACTGAAGAAGGATGAGTTAACCGGAGATTTCAGACGCTTACACAACGCTGGATTGCGTAAACTGTATCCGATTAATATAATTGAGGTAATTAATGCGCGGCGAATCACATGTGCTTAGTAACGAAAGAATTTCTAAAAGGTTAATATTTGATATACTGACTGGCAAACGTCCGAGGGGTAGACCGAAGCGAAGGTGGGAAAATTGCGTTAAAGCCGAAAGCCTGAAGGGACTGGGTTTGGACGGTGAACAGTAGAATGAGGTGTGTAGTAAGCGATTGGTGGTGTCGGCATAGAACCTTCAGGTTCGCTAAGCCTCTTATTATTATTATAAAAACTATGAGTGATAACACTCTCGAGACATAGCTTCGTCCTCACCACTTTTCTTTTACGCTCAATTTCCTTTCAAATATGCATCAGAAAACTTCGAGACTTTTTGCATTTTCATTGTTATAACTAGGGCTAGAATTTTGAGGATTTATCTTTTTTTTCTTTTAAGGAAAACAGAATTTTGTACAGATTTACGCCAATCTTGGGTAGTAGATTTAAAATAAAAATGTTATAGGAGTTTTATTGATTTATTTTGCACTAAAATAGATCTTTTTCTTTTGCAATGTTGCACTGAAATTACAATGTTAGATTTTCTCCTCATTATTTAATCTCCGACAATATAGTTTTTTTGTTCAATACACAATTGATTACAAAATAAATTATTCTTTAATAATTTTACGTGAAGTGAAAAGTTTTACAAATTTTTATTTTTAACAAAAGGGATAATTAACAATTTTATAATTGGTTTGAGGGATAATTTGGGTTTATTTGAATTTGAATGATTTCTAAGATAATAGTTTCAAGAACTTTAGCAAGTATTATTTCTCACTAAATTATAAATATTCGAGCAAGTTCGTAATCTCTTGATAAATTTCAGTATTTTCCTTCTGGACATTCCTGGCTATGTTAATGTTTACTTAATCGAATGCCTCATTGATATTATTTTCAGTTATTTTATGATCTCTACATATTCGATCAAATTCAAGTACACAAGATAATCACAAATTACCAGTATAGAGGACATTTATCTGCAAGTATCGATCCTTTGAACATCTTAAGAGATAAGTTTGTTCCTGATTCCTGCAATATTCCTAGAAAGGATTTGGAATCACTTCTAAACTGCCCTTACAACAAAGAGCGTAAGATAATATTGCCTGATGAATCTTTCATAGGTGCGTTTTTTTATTTAGTATGTAAGAATAAATTAGAAATAACAAACGTAACAGTAATAAGTATGATTTTCAATTTAAATAAACTTTTTGTTTATTAAGTTAATAACGGATGCATGTATATAGTTACACAAGCTCATAACTAGCGCAAACAGAGCTTTCTTCTCCCTTTTAAAGGTGTTCAAATCCTGCAATATCTCAAACTAAGAGTGTACAATACTATCATAAAACCGGTACTAATATATGGTTGTAAGACCTGGACACTAGCCAACACACTAGAAAAAAGTATTGAATGATTTGAGAGAAAAATCCTCCGCATGATAACAGGAGCTATATGGGATCAGAGTACTAACACATGGAGAAGAAAGACCAATAAACAACAGCTTGTTTCAAACTGGTCAATCAATATTCCATGATATGATGGCAAGGAGGTTAAGATGGGCGAGGTCATGTAACTCGTAGCAATCCATTTGGAAGCCTCTACAGAATCAAGAATGCCGCAATAGACCACGTGGAAGGCCAAAGTCAGATGGATAGATACAATCAACAAATAGAGTAGAGCTGCGTGCAGATAAATTGAAAGAATTAGCCCAAGACAGGCAGAGATGGAGCAGGCTTGTTAAGGCGGCAAAAGATCTACATGGTCTGTAATGCCAAACAAAAAAAATATATTTATTATGGAGATGTTCATTAAAGGTTTGGTTGGAAGATGTAAAACAGGGAATGAATACAAGAGGAAGAATGTTTGAATAAGATGTATGGCGAGGGAAAATTCTAGATATCAAAATAATTAATTGTACAAACCAGAAAAAAACATTCATTACTACTACTATTCTCATCTACCTTATAGATTTTATTTATTACTTCAAAACTTATCCATCTAGTACTAACCGGCTTGTCTATGGGTATGATATTCCCTGAAGGAGTTTCTTCAACCAAAGGCCGAGGAGATGGAGGTAAAAGAAATAAATATAAATGCAAGAAAAAGTAAAATCACGCAAGTAAGTCGAGGACCTGCGGATGTGCAGATCACTTGTAGAGGAGAAATACTAGAACCATCAGAAGACTAAGTAACTAGGCACAATTATCAGTAGAAATGGTGTAATTCAACAAAAGATATGCAACAGGATGAAAAAACTGAACATTTATTTGTTTTGTTGATGGGAAACGTGTAGTTGAGAAAAAGGCAAAAATGCACATTTTCACTTCAATTTACCTTACTATATGAAAGTGAGAGCTGACTCCTCCTTGACGGGGTTAAGATTAGAATCACCACCTCTGAAATAAATAACTCAGAAGAGTAGCCGGCCGAACCCAAAGGGAACTCGTCTTAAATAACAGAATAAGAGAGTAACGAGGGATAAAATCATAACTGGCATCCTAAACAAGAAGCTATTAAAGTGGTTCGGACATGAGTGCCGAATGGACGAATATCGTGGACTACGCAAGTTCTTCGAAGTTAGAACAACGGGCAAAAGACCAAGATATAGGCCATGGTTGGATAAGAACAGAAGAGAGGAAAGCGAATGGATTTCGTGAAGACATTGGCAAGGAACCAGGAAGGTTGTTATGTTTGGGGAGAGGCACCTCCGTGCTGAGAGGAACACAGGAGGAAGAAAAAGATAAAAAGAACATCGCCAAAATATAGTCAATTTTTTCGATTGAATTTCAAGATCCTTAGGAAATATATATTATTTAACAGTTGAGAAAACCAAATCCAAATATATATTTGTAATTGTATGTAAATTTTAACAGGTATACGGCGTTAGCCAGTGCTAAGGGCTAATAGCACTAACGTGTATTTATCGAGTATATGTCGTAGTAAATGAGAATTTATTTCTTAAGGAGCATGTCCTAATCATTCTTGATCATTATGAAGCCCTCTATATCTCTATGTTTAATTTGTAATAGAACCATCTTATCGTGAAGACCAGAAAAAAACATATTGCTAGCGCGAATCTATCGCGGGAAGTGTTAATCTAAGGGTCGGTATCTTGGCTTTGAAGTACTCGTTTAAGTAGTGCCCATCTTCCTCATGGCCGATGTCACAAGAACTAAGAAATTTTATTATGCAATTTTCTTAAAAAATAGTGCAAGCCTAAATTAAATTAGAAAAATCATATACAATTATACTTGCTTGATCTGGTCCAAGTTTTTTTCGCTTGTTCCCTGGTTTGAAACTTGTCACTTCGAAAATTCATAATGATCCCTTCGACATGATCCCCCTCAAAATTTTGATGGCACAACTTGCGCCATGAAACCGAGGCATCTCTGATCTGAGGCTAGGCCTATCACTGAGCGAAAGGGAGGAATATTCCCCATTCTATTATTATACCTAGTAAAGTAACTTAAAACATTTTTACTTTTTTTAAGGTGGAAGTCAAACAGTTATGAAACTGAAAGATATATTAATAAGACTGAACAGATCCTTTTGTGGAAGCATTGGTATAGAGTTCATGAACCATACTTCGGTGGATATTCGGCAATGGGTGAAGCGCAAGTTCGAGGAGCCAGCGTTCGTCCAGTCAATGCATGCGCCGAACATCAAGCAGATAATCCTGCTCAGGCTCATCCGAGCACATTGCTTCGAGCAGTTCGTGAGCTCCAAGTGGCCCAATGAGAAGCAGCATGGAGCGGTCGGATGCGAAATCCTCATGCCCGCCTTGGAGACGCTGATAGACTTCGGGTCCGCTCACGGAGCACAATCATTTGTGTTAGGTAAAATATTTCTCAGTTTTTCATGCTACTTTTGGTCTATAAATCTAAAAACTACTAAGCTCCTTTTTTCTTAACACCATAACCGCTATCTCCTTCCATATAAATCTCGTCAACTCCTAGTTTCCTCTCTTGTGTTCCACCACTTTGACTACTGCTGTCTGGTGTACGGCGGACTTAAACGCCAAACTTAAACATACTTAAACGCCTAATGAATTGCGCAATACGTTTTGTTTTCGGAATCACAAGAGATACGCATGTAACTCAGTATTAAACCAAGTTGAAGTGGATCGCTAATATAATCGCCGCCTGTATTTCCTTGCTAACTCAGCGGCCTTCCTACATTTTTCATAGCCTACAATTTATATATTCCATTCATTCCCGTCCCACTAGACTCCGCACTTCCGACCTCTATCCACCTCCTCACCGAACGTTTGACAAATCCTTTATAATCCAAGTCGTCTCCTTCTGAAATTCCATCCCTCCCGATATCCGACATGCACAATCAGTTTCCTCATTTAAATGTCATATTTTTAAGCACCTACTAATTTTTCAACCCGATTGATTACGAAATGTACATAAGGGAACTTTTTAAGTTCCCCCAGAAATGATTTTGTTTACTTATGTTATTAGATTCTCCCATGTTTGGTTATATATATACATATATATATGTATATATATAATATAGGAGCGGGGTAGCTCAGTGGTAGGGCACTGCATATGTCCCGAGTTCGATCCCCGGCTCATGGCAGAAAATTTATTTATCTGTTTCGTTGGCCGTGGCCGCGCGACCTTGGGTCAGGAGTGGCACACACAGCCTCTATAAAGTGGGTACCCTTAATTAAATAATTAATTAGGGGGAAAAACCTGGCGGTTGAGAATGATCTCGGTCAAATCGCCTCCTTGCACAACCGTGGACCTAGAAACAGTGCTTTCCCTAAATAGTACTGAACCCCAGACCCTTCATGGGTTGTAGTGGTACAGTGTTACATATATATTTATGTATGTATATGTTTGTAGTGTTTTTTTTTTTTTGTTTTTCTTCTCCTAATATTTTAATTTTAATTACATTTGTAAATATTTAATTTGATGCATGACCACACAGACATTTTTTCTGTATCAATAATTTGTCCTAAAGGGACACCAGGATAATAAACAAATTTTTTTTATTTCATTTTATTCACTAGATACAAGTGAATAACTTATCTGTTTCCAGTCTCAACGCCCATTATCAAAGAATTTATTTGTTTAGGAAATCCTACATTGTCTTTGTCTGCAATGCTCAATCTGTTTCTACCCATGAATCCTCTTCCACCATTCCTTTCCCCTTTTTAAATAAATACAACTGGTAAAAATGAACAATAAAGAATAATGACGTGGACAGACTTGTCAATAATGACTACCCAATAGAAGGACTCTCGAAATAGTTCTAAGTAAGGATTCCGAGTCCATCTTCATTCAGACGCCTCAGAGGGTTATCAGGAATCGAGGAGGAAGCTGGAATCAAGTGGGTTCGGATGTGTCTGGATTTTATTATGGAAGAATAGGTTAGGTTAAATTCTAGGTCATAGAACATTAAGGTCTTTGTGAATGAACTTATTTGTGACAAAATATGGAGCATTAAGGATTTTACAAAAGATTTTTTAAAACTTATTATAGATTTGTTTTGAAGTTAATTTCAAGCTAAGAGCGTTTGTCTTTAAAGTATTGGAGCAAACAGTTTTATCCTTCTTAATAATCCAAATCCTGTACTGTATTCAAAATCCATTTCTGTTTTTAGTATTTCATTAAAAATGTTACTAATATCATTCAAATCTTGATAAATTATGATAAGATGCTCGCTATAACACGCGTATTTACCCGAATCAGAAAAAACTGACTTACTGTATTTTCTTGTTTTAGAATTATCACCTGACGTATGTTAGCCAGAATAGATTAGTTAGTACCTTACTGATTATACTTATTTTCTGTCCTTGGTGAGAGTTTTAAACATAATAATTAGCTAAAATGTATAAGACGAATCCTAGAAACTTGTAAATATTGTATTAGATCTAACGATGTATTCATGAACGAAATTAAATTAAATTCAGGTATGACGACAACAAGAGCCCGGTTGAACGTTTTGGCGAATGTCTTCAGGAAACCACTTCAGCAGATATTCGTTCCCTTCCATCACCAAACTTCTGAGGGAGTTCTTCTTCACGACGACGATAAATACGTCTTAGGAAACAACGTGAAGAAGGTTACTTCCAATCAGGCGTTACCGACGGAGTTCGCTGTTCTTGCAAGTACTTCCAACTTCGTGGAGGCCATAGACCCGTTAGTATCGGGCAAGACGATGGCAGAGCAGCTTTATACTGCAGATGACGACGGTCGTAGGGTAATTTATTTATAATAGTTGTTGTTAAGGATCGTTTTTACTTTGGCAGTTATTTTTAAACAGGAAAAGCATCTGTTATAGAAAAGTAATAGCTATAATTATGCAATATGTTGTTTTATATCTGGAGTAGGTTATATAATATTTTCTCTTATTTCCAAATGCGTTTACTATGAATTTAATAAAGCTTAGTTGTTGCTTAAAATCAGATTTACCTATTTGCCTAGCTGCATTTACGGCATTCCAAGTTATATGCATGCAAGTTACTTCACAAGAACAGAAACAAATACCCGTACCCTAAGGATTGAATCGCTTTGGGCCAGTCTAAAGAGAAAAATTAAAACTGATCATGGAAACAGCAGGAAACATCTCAACACTTATTTGTGTGAATTTGTTTGAAGGAAGATTATGAGAAGGAGGACTTGTTCGAAAGATTACTATAATAAATAAAAAATTATTGGCAACCAAACTGAAAAAAAAAAGTTTGAAACATCTAAAACAAACTTTTTTTTTTACAAGTTTCAATATTATCAGTTAATAGTTATTTATATAATAGAATAATTACAAGATTGATTTAAATACATATATATATATATTTTTTTTTTTTTTTTTTTTTTTTTTTTTTTTTTGGGACCTGCCACCTCAACAAGCCTGCTCCATCTCCACCTCATCGGCTATTTCTTTCCAATTATCTGCACGCAGCTCTATTGCATCTTTGTTGATTATATCTATCCATCAGATTTCTGGCCTTCCACGTGGTCTTTTGCCTTCTATTGAGGCATTCATTGTTACGTAGAGGTTTCCAGATGGATTTCTTCGAGCCATATGCTCCGCCCATCCGTGCCTTCATATCATGGGATATTGAGTGACCAGTTTGAAGCAAGTTGTTGTGTATTGATCTTTCTTCTCCATGTGTTAGTACTCTGATCCCACATCGCTTCGATTATCCTGCGGTGGATTTTTCTCTCAAATCTGTCAATACTTTTTTCTATTTTGCTAATCAGGGTACAGGTCTCACACCCAAATATTAAAACTGATTTTATCATTGTACACTCTTAATTTGAGATTTTTCGGCACTCCAAAAGTACAGGATACTTCACAAGAACAGAAAATAATACCCGTTACCCAGAGGATTGAGGATTCAAATAATAACTGATACTTTTCTATAACAGGTAACTTTCTTATTTAAAAATACCTGAAGTAATAAATACTCGTTAATAACAATAATAAAAGTTTTTTTGATAAAATTTCAATTAATGCATTTTATTCCTGCTAAGGTTTGGCCGATCGTCATTCACGGTGACGAAGTAATAAGTGGTCAAGGAATCGTTTTGGAGACATTTCGATTGGCCAGCCAGAAGTACTTCTCGACAAATGGAACGATACACATTGTACTAACCAATCAGGTAAATACATCAAAGTATATTCGTGAGGCAATACAACCAGCAAAAATTTATCGAAAAGATGTCTTAACAGATGCCTTGATCAAGTCATGGGATTTATAAAAGATATTCCAAAAGAAATTTTTAAGACATCCGATAAACATTATCAAAAAGTAATATTTTAGTCTCCTATATAAAGTGATCTAAAAATGGTCATCTGCTAGATATCTTAAAGATAACTAAAAAAGCTTTCTTTCAGAGATCTATACTGGAGGGAGAGGGGAATGATAAAAAAAAATAAATATTTTTAAATACAGCCTTCCCTATTCTTTGAGCGACCCAAAATTGTAAATAACTTTACAACACATTAGATTAACGTTGAACCTTGCCTTAGGTTGTCTACTGAGTTCGATAATGGACTACCCTACTACAATGACTTTTAATAATGTTGTTAGCGCATCTGCTTAATCCAAAAATGTCAAGGAAATGAAATTTTGAATCTTTTATACTTTTTAGGAGTTTCAAGATTGTTTCTTCATTGTACATTTTGTTCCAGTATAACTTGCCAAAAGAAGATTCGGCGAAATCGGATGACGGCTCGATATACGCTACAAATGTCGCTCATGCCTCCCTGGCTCCGGTCTTCCATGTCAACTCCCAGGACCCGGAAGCCGTGGTGTACTGTATGAAGGTGGCTGCAGAATACAGGGCCAAGTTTAAATCGTAAGCCTGTTTGTTATCCTAAGCCATTGTAATAATAAAATATTTAAAAGATCTCTATTACTCTGGGACTCTCTATTACTTAGTCTGATCAATGTGGTCGTATTTTTAATTTAATTCATTCCTAGTCAATATTATATCTAGAGGTGTGTGTAGAAGCCTTTAATACATCGATACTTTTACCGGGTTACTACATAAAAATATATTTCTCGTGACTCATTACCATAGATAGAGTGAGGCCTAAAAAAGCAATCAAAAATATATTTAACTAGGGGAGTACCCCTTGTCCTCCTAACGGCGGGTCAACCCCCATTTTACTCGTTGCTCAATCGTATTATTATCATTTTTTTTAAATTGTATAATGGGTGATAAATATTCAGGACGCAGTCTTTTAAAATTTTTATTTTTGCCAACGTTTCAACCCAAACATGTGGGTCATATTCAGGGCTGAAAATGTTTTTTTTTAATTACAATCAGAGATATAATAGTATACGACCGCTAATTATAAATAATAAACTATAGTGATTGATGACACATGAATTTTAACTAATATTGTAATATACATATTAAAATAGTTATACAAACTGAAAATAAAAAATAATGTATATAATCCATTTATATAAATTTGTAATATTTTCTCTTACAAACCGTTGTTTGAGCACTGAGGTTGTTCAAGTACTGACACATGTTTGGTAGGTAAGTAAAAAGGTCGGGGGGGGGGGGGGAGAGGATTTCCCACTTGTCCTTTTTCAGATAGCAAAAGGTAAGTAAACAAGGTTAGAGGGGAAGGGAGGGTAACATTTGTTGTTTGTAGAATATACATAATTTGCTGACAAATATTTCAGACGTGTACAATATTTGAGTTATTTCATATAGTTACAGAAATGTGACTATTGACTAGTATTAAAATGAACATAAGCAAAAGGTGCCAATTAATATAAATATAGCTTAGTTTGATATTAAGTATACAAGGGTTAGATGAATAATTTTTATAATAAAGACATTTTCAATTTGTGCAAATGATATTTAGGACAACATATTATACAATATTTATCATAATATAAGTTTGTGTTATATTAAGGATTACATAGGCTATTGTTTCAGGAGGCGGAAAATATTTGAATATGTATTGCAGATCTTTTCTTTGTCTACTTTATGGTTTACCGGATTATTTTTTTCCAAATTAATGAATATAGATTCCGATAGTAGTCGTTTTTGGTGATTGGGAACTGTGGCGAGTGTGGTTGGGTTTTCGAAATCAAATGTGTGGTTTAGGGTTATGGCGTGTTCCGTTAGTTTTGAGGCAAACGGGTTTCGTGTGGAGATGCTATATTTGTGTTTATAGATTCGTTTTTTTAAATAGTTTTTGTTTTCTCCTATATAAGAAGAATTACAGTTTGGGCTAGAGCATGTGATATAGTATACAATATTTGATTGTTGTAGGAGCGGAACAGGATCTTTGAGTTTGGTGTATAGATTTCTTAGTTTATTGTTATTTTTGAAAACTATTTGTAGATGGGGAAATTTGGAATGTTTATTGTTATTTTTGAAAACACAAAGCCATAACCCTAAACCACACATTTGATTTCGAAAATCCAACCATACTCGCCACAGTTCCCAATCACCAAAAACGACTACTATCATCTATATTCATTAATTTGGAAAATAATAATACGGTTAACCATAAAGTAGACAAAGAAAAGATCTGCAATACATATTCAAATATTTTCCGCCTCCTGAAACAATAGCCTATGTAATCCTTAATATAACACAAACTTTTATTATGATAAATATTGTATAATATGTTGTCCTAAGTATCATTTGCACAAATTGAAAATGTCTTTATTATAAAAATTATTCATCTAACCGTTGTATACTTGCTATCAAACTAAGCTATATTTATATTAATTGGCACCTTTTGCTTATGTTCATTTTAATACTAGTCAATAGTCACATTTCTGTAACCATATGAAATAACTCAAATATTGTACACGTCTGAAATATTTGTCAGCAAATTATGTATATTCTACAAACAACAAATGTTACCCTCCCTTCCCCTCTAACCTTGTTTACTTACCTTTTGCTATCTGAAAAAGGACAAGTGGGAAATCCTCCTCCCCCCCCCCTGACCTTTTTACTTACCTACCAAACATGTGTCAGTACATGAACAACCTCAGTGCTCAAACCACGGTTTGTAAGAGAAAATATTACAAATTTATTTAAATGGATTATATAGATTATTTTTTATTTTTAGTTTGTATAACTATTTTAATATGTGTATTACAATATTAGTTAAAATTCATGTGCCATCAATCACTATAGTTTATTATTTATAATTAGCGGTCGTATACTATTATATCTCTGATTGTAATTTAAAAAAAATATTTTCAGCCCTGAAGATGACCCACATGTTTGGGTTGAAACTTTGGCAAAAATACAAATTTTAAAAAAGACTGCGTCCTGAATATTTATCACCCATGATATGTAGAACAGTCGACTAAGTTCCTTCCAGAATACATAAAATTGTATAACTTTAATATACTCGTATTCTGTAGTTCAGATTATTATTTTTTTTTTTCAACATATATATTCCTTTGGAGTAAAAGAAAACTGGATTTACTTTCATAATAACTTAATTGCAATGAAATAAATATTAAATAAACTTTTTATTACTATTTATGTTTTTATAACATTTACAGAGACGTTATTGTTGATCTGATCTGTTATCAGAAATACCTCCCTCCTGAGAAAAGTCTTCCGAAGGATGTAGTAAAAAAAATAAATGATCAACGTCCAATATTGGAAAAATATTGTGAAAAAATGGTCAAAGAAGAGGTAAATTTATCTAAGACAATAGCAATATGGCACAGTGGTCTGGGAGTGGCCAAAACTGTTATTTTATTCGTCTTCTGATAATTCAATTGCCAAAGTTAAATAAAAAAGTCCAAAACGTTAGGCAAGAGTAAAAATAAGGGTTTTCTGATTTGTCAGTATTGTATTAATAAAAATCTTTTTTGTAAAAATTTAATTTTACAACTTCGTAAAAATAAAGACATATATTTTAAGCGTTTGTTCAGTTCTGAAAAGAATTTTTATTGTGTGATTTGTCTAAACAAGTTTAATAATTTCGGTGAATAAGTTATTTCTGTTTTATAGATTCTAAAAGATAAGTAGTTTGTACCATTATGCGCCAAGATATTATTGGTATCAAAATGTTCTTTATTACCTCTGCTATCAATGAATACAAAAATCAGTTGCGGTAACTTGCGATTTTGGCAATTATCTGGAAAATTAAGTCAAATAAGCTGTTCGAAAATCGGTAAAAAGGTCGAATTCCGACTTACACATAAAAAAAAAACAATCTAATATTGTTTAATTCTCTTCTTTATAGAAAAACTGAGAAAAAAATTGGAAAATGTGAAGGAACCAATTCAAGTCAATTCAAGACAAATTTTTATTTATCTTTATATCTTGCTTACCGATTTGCTCAACTTCTGTTATTGGAGTTTCAGAATCTCTCTATGTCCTCTTGCAACGATATGAGAACAAACTATATATATATATATATATATATATATATATATATATATATATATATATATATATATATATATATTTTTTTTTTTTTTTTTTTTCGGTTGGCGCTACAGATCATGAAGATATATGGCCGCGAGATGTGGTCTCCTTACAGCTGCAGGCCACCCGTAGCTCTATAGCCGATCCCTTTGGGGCCAATCTGGCAATGTCCTTCCCACTGGCTTTCTCGAGTTCAAGGACAGTGACAAATCGGTCTAGATCCATGGATTGTGGCTACTCGGAGTCAGCTGGCACACGAGGACCTATATTTCTTTCCCCGAAACAGACCGTCCATGGACCGAACCTCAGGGGGGGCTTTTAACATCCTGGTAAACCACATCCCGATTCCCGATTTAAGTACACGGGGTAGGGTCATCAGTCCTACGCCCGGTCGGTGTGAGTTGCCTCCAGTAGTGACGTCAGTGATCACAACAATGTATACTCCCTCGATATGGCTTCTGTGTTTATAGTGTTCTTCCACAATAAACGTTTCTTTATTGTCTGTTTTGTGTGTGGGGTTCATAAAGAAATCCTAACCATTATTAATAGTATACCCCTGCTATACATTAAAATAAGTACTATACATCTTTTTTTTTAAATGTGCAGCTGTCAACTTGGTACGAGATAGACAACAGTATCCAGAAATACGAACACCTTCTCGAATACAGTTACTCCAAAGCTCAAAAGTCTAGTTTCAAAGTAAACGAATGGCTTGACTCCCCATGGAAAAGATTTTTCGAAGTAATTTTTATGTTATGCTGAAATAGAGTATACACTTTTTTACAAAGAATATCTAATTTGATTTATTTTACAGAAAAAACTCCAACTGGTTGATCCAAATACGTCACTGATACCTTCCTTATACAAGGTTACCGTAGAGAACATCATAAGCTACCGCTCCGACATCAATACGCATCCTTCCATTTTAGAAGCTCTCTCAAATCACTATACGATGGCTAAGGAAAACAAAATAACATGGCTGATGGCCGAAAATTTAGCAATAGCATTTATGTTGCAGGTATATATAATTAAAATTTACAAGTACCATTGTAAAGTGCTGATTGGACTGGAATAGAATTGTTCCTACAAAACCATTATGAAACCTTTTTTGACCTATGGATTTTAACATCGTATGACACCTAAATAATCAATATCAAACGAATTTAATAGTTTTAGTACTAAAAACAAAGTTAATTCTACATGTCACAAACAAGACTTTACATCATAGTCTCAATCAGGGGTGCCCAGAAGGAGGTTTCATGGCGCAGGTTGCGTCAGTAGAACTTTTGATGGGATTATGAATTTTTGTGGGAGCCCATTTGGATGGGATAATGTATTTTCGAAATTACAAGTTTCAAACCAGGAGACAGGAGGAAAGCATAGAACAGACCGATGAAAGTATAATTGTATATGAATCTTGAATTTTAAAATTTTACTTCAGCTTACCCTGTTTTTAAGAAGATAGAGTAATAAAATATCTTGGGAGGAGGGAAGGTTCATGCACCATAATATATATTCTGTATTTGTAACTTGTTCTAAAGGGATATTAGTCCCAGAATAATAAAATTATTTTCATTCATTCACCATTGACCTTGGGAGGATTGGCATCCATGGCCTCAATATCCCATTTATCTTTGACTTCATCCCATCCATAAGAACCTTATTCATCATCCACATCCTCTATCTCAATTAATATCCAGCTCTGACTATCCCTACAATCCTCCTCGAAAATTAAAACGGTAGGAATCCCGAGACCTTTTGTAAATATGATATTGCAGTTCTGAGCAATGGCCAGCTTCTCCAATCAATCCTGAGCTTCTGTGTCTCTAATGCCTTCTTTCATTCTCCACTGGCCTTCAATACCAGTAACGTGGCTAGGAGAGAAGTGCTGTGATCTCCTAGAGTCCAATTATTCATGATAGATAGACATTGATCCTAATAGACATACAATACGTAATTGAAAACAAAGCTTACGTTTCAACTTTACAATATTTTGCTCCACTTCGGTGGGATGCCACTATATCTCATCGTCACACTATAAATATAAATCCGAGAATGGTCGAATGTTGATATCGTTTTCACCGGTATAACTCCCTATATTTATATCCCGATTATGGCTTCCTCATTGGGATCTTAACTAGTTACAATTACAGCTTCTTTCGATTTCTGCTCTCTCAAAAGGAGTGAATAATCCCTCCCTCTAACGGCTCCTTTACAGTTAAACATAGGGCCTTAACAGACGGTCAAGTGACCTAGGTCTACTTTTTGATACACATCCATTCTCGGAATTCTGTTTGTAGTGTGATCATTAAATTTTGTGCCTACCCATCCAAGTGGAGCAATGCATGTACAGTAGTATCAAGCTTTCATTTAGTCCAACTGAATTCAGTTACTTCTTTAGTATACTTTACAGGAAGGTATCAATGTAAGGATGACTGGAGACAGCTGCGAAGAGGGAGAATCAATTAAAAGACATCATACAAGATACGCGGTGGATTCAATGGAGACCAGGATCCCATTGAGAGGGATGTATAAAGCTCAAGGGTATTATACAAACTGCAACAGTCTCTCTTCTGAGGTTTGTCCTTTCGTATGACTAGTATTAATGAAGTAATTTTATGAATGAGTTAATAGAAAAGGACAATTAATTTAAAGTACAGATTAAATTGTTTGGAATGAAATACATTTAAATAAAACCAATATATGGTTTTATATTTTCTTTTTTAATCTTATTATGAAAATAATTGAAAGAACTGAAAATATATATAAGAGATCTTTTTGTCGTTTTCCTTCAGAACATGCCAAACCGAGATATCGCTCATTTATATGCTTTATTTCACTGAGGTTAGTCTAAAATCCAATTTGGTTGACTATTTAGCTTAGAACAGCTAACTTGTCTTAAATATTACAGAACAACTGTGTAAGAAAACAAAGATCCTAGACTAAGCTGGATCATTCATCGAGCTTTAGGAGAGGGTGGACAATCTTAACTGAACTTGCATGAAATCTTGACCCATTTTCAAACTGGGGGAAAACTTATTCATTATTACCTTAATTTTTATTTACAAGATAAATTTAACATTTCTTGGATTATTTTATAGGTTATTTAGCTAAACGAATTGATTGATAATGGGTGAATGAGCAATCAAAAGAACAGCCCGTCGCAGATTAAATTGTTCCATGATCTTGAATTAGATAATTTTTATTTATGTGTTCAATCTACAGTTTTTTTGTTTTTTTTCAGTTTGCTAACTTAGGGTTCGAAATCGGCTTTTCACAAACCAGTCCAAAGTCCTTAGTAATATGGGAAAGCACGAAAGAAGACAGAACTTCCTTGGCACAGTATATGATTGATGTATTTTTGGCAGCAGGAGAAGGAAGATGGTTTCGGCAGACTGGTTTGGTATGCTTGATACCGCATGGTTTGGAAGGTAAGCATGCAGTAAATCTTTAGCTTATTAGCTAGTTGATTGTAAAGGTAAACCAATCAAAAATATGCTTTAAGGGAAAGGAGACAGTACTTCATCTGGCAGACCAGAAAGATTTCTCCAGATGTGTAATGATGACTACCAAAATCCAATAACTGAAATGCCAATTCAACTTGTCAAATGCAATTGGATAGTTGCAAATGTGACGACACCTTCAAATTATTTTCACGTTTTGAGGCGACAGATGAAATTTAACTTTAGGAAACCTCTTATTTTGTTCACTCATAAAAAACTCTTTTTTAAAATGATATACTCACCGAGGGAAGATTTTCTGAACAAAAACAGGTTGGTAAATAACGATTAGAAATAACAAATTATCTAGTTAAAAATTTGTTATTGATTCCGCTTACCTATATATGGAATATAAAGTAGGAGAAAGTATTGCGATCGAATCCGAATCAAATATTTCTTAATAAAAATTATGAAAATAGCCTTTCTACTCAAAGAAGGATGGTACATGAAAATTATGATGCCTGTGAGGTACCAAATTTTTTAATCATTATGATATTTTGGCTCAAGAAGTTGATATGGATTAGCTTGGAAATTGATACCACGATTTTGCAAATCTTAGTAAAATGAGTTGGAAAAAAATTAACTAGCATCTGTAGGATTTAATTTGTTCTCTGATTCTTGGCATCAAATTCCTCAATGTTTAATTCCACATTTAAATTACTCATTCACCTACAAAAATAAAAAAAATAAATAAATAAATAAGAAATTCTGTAGTATATATTAACCTTCATTCATTCATGTGTGGCACAACATCCCGTTACCGAGACTGGGCCTCCTCCAAGAGCCTCCACCAGTTGGCTCTGTCTTCTGCTGCAGCTCTCCAGTTCCGTACACCAAGCAGGGTTCTCGCATCATAGGCCACGTTGTCCAACCATCTCGTCCTCGGCCTTCCTACCCGTCTTACGAGGTGCAGCTCCTCCATCATTATTTTTTTTGGTATTTCAACGGTGCTCATTCTGGCCACGTGCCCTGCCCACCTTAGTCTGGCCAGTTTAATATATTAACCTTAATATTAAGAATTGTTTACTCTAAATAAATTTTTAAAAAGTCTTACAAGATATTTTTCAAAGCAGTATTGTAGAAACAGAAAAATTTCAGTAAAATTGGTGATTGGTCCAGTTGTATGTTTACTTATACATTACTTTTTCGTACACACCAAAATTAATTTTAAATTACTATATACTTTTTTGACTTTCCTTACTATTCTTATTCAATTACATATTTAGCTATAATTTTAATCATTATAAGAAAATAATTATATTTCACTTTTAGGTTCAAAGTATATTTTCCAGACAAGAGTTTCCCACCAAATTCAGACCAAGCACGAGAAGTAAAAAAGGTACTATTCTGTACCGGTAAAGTGTACTATGAACTTCTCGATGCTAGAAAAAATGCAAATCACGAGAAAGATATTGCTATATGCAGAATCGAACAGATCAGTCCTTTTCCATACCATGCGATTTTTAAGGACATGGTTAACTATCCAAATGCTTCATTTCATTGGGTTCAAGAAGAGCACAGAAATCAAGGATGGTGGACATATGTTAGGCCGCGCTTCATTGCGACAATGGAAATGATAAGAAAGAAGACTCCTAGTAGTCCGATAGTGCCTCAGATCAACTATATCGGAAGATCTTCAGGCTACAAGACTGCTGCTGAAATAAGATACCAGCATTTCTTGCAGATGAGGTTATTCCTTGCTGAGGCAATGAAAATAGTCGTTTGATATTAATAAAAAATAAATCAATTTCTTTGATTAATAATTAAAGAGATGAGTGGATGAAAGAGCCATGTAACACTTCTTTCTATCTAAATTGAATTATTCTCAGAGACGAATAAGGTATGTGTTGTCCTGTTTTTCTTTATGGTTATTCTCTAGAAGCCTTTATAACACGAAAAAAAAAAATTAAATTTAATTATAAATTGAACTTCACTTGTGAATTTCTGTTAATGAGAGGGCCTCTGGAAAAGAGTAGTCTGGGAAGTGCTGAGTCCTAGTGTCCTAGACGAATTACTATTAGCAATAAGGATACCACTACTGACCAGTATTCATTCCTGTAATAGCAGTACGGATGTAATGGTGATTTTAAAGTTTTTTGGAGTTTAATAATGAATATAATACTGCTAATAAGAAGATAAACAGTCTTATTATAAAGAATTAGAACTGGAGAAATTAAGGAAAAAACATGGAAGGCCCATTTTTTTATATGGAATGACCATTTAAGTTTAATTATTTTTATATCTTGAAGATTCAAGTCGGGACAGCGCCGTTAGGTAGAGACTGATACATAGAGAAAACAGTTTTTTTTTTCTTTTCAAATTGAAATAAAACAATCCCATAAATTGAAATCATCAATGATGAGCAAGGTTCATAGTGATGAAAATAATTTTTTTAAGCTTGGAAGCTTTGCATAGCCAATTTTGAATGATGTAGTAATTAATCATGTAGGGACACTATTTTATGCTCACAATTCATAATTATAATTGCAGTCTAATTAAAAGTAACTAATTAACTGATAAATAAATTATTTTATTTACTCATATTTTATTAATATAGCTCAAATAACTAATATTCATCATAATATAAACCAGGTGAATGTTACTAAATAACAGACAATTTTAAAATCTAAAATATTTGTTTTTAAATTTTGGACAAACTATTTGTTTTTAATATCTCAAATAAAAAATCAACTCGGGTTGGTAATTATTAATTATTATGAATGATAATTATTTCCAGATCTCATTAAAGTTATGTATTTTAAGCTCTGTTTAGTTCAATAAAATCTTTTAGTTTTTTTTTTGTTTTTTTTTATTTGTTTGACAATAATAACTTCCAATTGGTAACAATTGAATATATTTCTATTATAAACGTTACATGTTAACAAGTTAGTTGACGTTTTGGGATATTTATTCCCATCTTCGGAACTGCAATCCCAATACTCTTGTGGATGCAAGGCTTAAATTTAATAATAATGTGCTCCATCGTCAAATTTCTAATTCATGTTCTAAAATGTATCATCTAGAGCAACATCCTCCTTTTGACCTATAATTGGGAAAGTTTTCAAACTAAGCGGTTAGCTCATTAATCTAATTGGAGATCCATCAGACCTAAACTCAATGATGAAATTAAGTATTCTCCAATGTTCATCAGTTGAACCATCAATGGCTCACCAGTTCCATCAGCTTTTGGAATCAATGGATCCGCTGGATGAAACATCATTATAACATAAATGTTATTTCTCAATTAACTCAACACATTTATATTCAGTTTACTTTATATCTATATACATTTCTGTTTCAAAATTCAAGAATTCGGTAAGTAGGTATTTTCTTATTATTATTGTTGCAACCTTCCAGTACTGTCAACCTTCTCCAGCAATCCAGCAGGTCATTCCTAATAGTTTCTACTATTTTTGGGGTCATTCTGTCACCTGGACAATCTTTAATATTATTAAGATGGTCCAATACTAAGTATTTGATTTAAAATTTTTACTAAAAAAAAAAAAAGTGGAATGATCTTTATTTCATGATTCATTTGGGTATTTTTGACTACATGAATACATTGTTTAACAAATATTTCAGATTAAACAGTTTCTTTAAGGAAAAATTAACAACTATTTATGAGAAATAAACCTTTTTATTTGAAAATAAAGGAACATAGGACATTTATATGTTCACATGACGTCATTACAGATTCGTTTATTTTCATTATGGAGAATAAGAAGAGAATATCATCCAAACAGTCAAAAGCGCTTATTTTCCCATGATATTTCATCTAATGGTGGATTGTAGTACTATAACTTTATAAGTTTACACAGACATACATTTATACATTTATATATTTACATATTTTTTTTAACAATAAATTCAAAATAAAAGAATAATCATATAATACATTGAGATATATTGTAAAATATATATATTCACAAATAATGTAATTATGTATAATGAATATTTACATGTTATGACTTTAAAAATGCAAAATATCCTTAATCATATAGTTGTGTGACATATATTATTTTACAAACAAGTTGTTATGTATATGTAATATTAGAACAAAAAATAAATATATTTATTTGTACATAAAAATACAACACTGAGGCGCAAAAAACAAAAATAAAATAAAAAATACTAACATGTAACTACATATAGATATCATGATAATACTTTGATCTGATTTTTGAATGAATGACCATTTAGTCCAGATTTACAATCTATTGAACATTTATCGATGGATTAATTCACATCGAACTCTACCTGGAACACTTTAAGTGTAATTCTAAAGGAAGAGTATTAAAAATATATATAGAATTAAAAAACGTAAAAAACTTTTTTTTTTTGTTTAAACTTGATTTTTTTTTAAAAACATGATAAATATATTAATTATTCCTTCAATAGAAAACAACAAAAACTGGTCATTTTTTTTGCCTCAGTGTATTATGGTCTTTATATTTTTAAACATTTTGAAAAGCATTAAAGAGACATAAATTGAAATTGTTATTTTTACATACTTACCTTTCTACTTTTATATCTGATTTAAAATGGAAGATAACTACAGTAAGATCCCCTAAAATGGAAACTAAAAACTGTTCAAAGAAACAGTTATTGTTTTAAAACAAGCATTTGAAGATAAGTGGAATTATACAATTAATGAAATGATTCAATATTAGTAATTATTTAATAGTTAAATAGGCATTGCTTAACATGGTATTGTTTTCTGCTTAAATACCATTTTAGCTACGGTCAACAACTTAATATTTTTACGTATTATTACTTCTTTTTTTTTTTTAACAAACGGAATATTATTGATCGTAGATTTGATCAAGGAGAATTTATGGCTAAAGAAATGGAAAAAAGAAATAAACTGCAAAAAAGCGTTTGGAATACCTGGAAAGTAAATAGGAGATCTTCTGTACATTTTAAATATATGAACAAAGAATGATTTTTATAAACTTTTTTTTTCATAAAAGACAGAAGAAGCCCATGGATTAAACATCACTCTTGTAAAATTATTTTTTGTTTAATTTTCTATTTTTGAAAATAAAATTTCTAAAGATCATATTGTAATTTTAAGTTTCCTATATTATTATTTGCATTTATTTTATGTGAAAAACAAATTAAAATTATAGCTTCATAAAATTTTGGTCCACAAATTTACAGTACATTTCACTACTTGAAATTTTTATTTAATGAGCACCCTTAACTACTGTCTAACAAGGGTGACAATGTCGCAGCAATGAAAGTGTACAGCATGAAACAACGGAATTCGTTTGACAAAAAAAGAACTGTATAAATGCATTATAAAGATTTCTGTCAGTTATAAAAAATGTAATATAATTTGTAGAAATCATGGATTATATAACTTCAAGGGTGTTAAAAATAGTAAAATTACAATTATTTAATGTTTAGAATGATAATATAATACGAGCGAGGTTATACAAAAAAGTACAGATTTACAACCTGTATGGGCTTCAACTGTTTACATTCACGAAGAATACAAATACAGTAATGATTTAATTTACAAGAATAGGGTTACAACACCAATATTTGATTGATATGTAGCAGTTCAAGAATACATATATTTACAAAAAATGTCTTAGACATTGTCTGTACCGAAATCATTTTACAACGATATCTTAAATTATCAAAGAGATTCTTCTGCCGTATTATGGCGTATATACTGCCGTATATTGGCACATATATACTGGCATTTGGATTATTATTATAGGGACATAACAAGGGTTCAAATAGGCTCACTCGTTGGATTAAAGCTATTTTACATTTGACCCATACATTTAGTCATAAATTGCATTCATTTTTAGCATTGTATATGCGTACGTATAATTCTAAATACAGTTTACATTAAGTATATGTAAATAGTTATTTATTTGTTTTTGAGGAAGAAAGGGGTTTAATAGTGATTTCAGAATTTATATGTACTACCAAAACAAAAAAAAAAAAAAAAAAAAAAAAAAAAAATACATAGACTAAGAAACAAAGCAGTCTTTCAATAAAAAAAGTTTTCAAAAAAAAATTATGTTCATCTGCTCCTCCATTTAATCAGAATCTCGTTCCACATTTATTTGTTTTAAATGATTAAATACCTTAGGAAGAGATGAAATAATCAAAGAACAAATTATTATTTTGTTACGTAATGTTATTTTTTACAAGTTAAATTATTATTTATTAAGTTGTGACCTCAATCCAACAACTCAATTATGTCATGTTAACTAGTTAGTTTTTTTTTTCCTTGTTACTAAGTTATTAATAGTTTTAAAAGCAGGTTATTTTATTTTTTGATTGAGTATTGTTATCAATTCCTGTAAATAAATGCCTCTTTGATGGAGGAACAGAAGTACTTATTTTAAAAGTAAAACCTATATTAAATTGTGGCTAAAAAAGGAGAGGGATAAGAATAGATTTTTATATTAAGTTTTCTACTAGGTGTTTTATTTGTCATTATCATTATTGAAATAAACTGACAGTTAATATAATATATTTAATTTAATAATAATAAATTTGGATTTTTATTGGGTTGGAATGTATGAAATGTCTGTTCCTAGGGTATGAAGCAAATTAAAGAAAAAACAACTTAAATAATTTTATTTCTGAAGAGAAGTTGGGATTTTCATAAAATGTCAGTAAACATACAAAGTAAAACTAAATAAATTATATTTATTTTTATTTCCTTTGTGCCAATGTTTCAGGCCTTGAACAAGGCTGTTACCTCGAAAAGTGTCAAGAGACAAAGAAAACCCCAACCAATTTCTCTTCAATATATCTATGACAGTCAACTGTCAATATAATTTTATTTTTGTTCAAAATAATTTTTGTCACCTTCAATACATTTACTTATATTATTATATACGACATGGCTACAACTGACATGCTCATCAGAAGCTGACTGAAAAGAAGCAGGATGAGAGATCTCCCTTTCTAATTTAAGAAAGTAAACAAACACCAGGGAAGAGGTGCTGCTGGGTGCTATTCTTCCTAATGCCTAAAATGCCATTTTCTAACATAACAACATATCTGCTAATTGTCACTATCATGAAAGATTCGGATGGAGATTTGAAGATAAAAAAATAGGTTTTTCTATTATTTGCCTCATAATGAAGAAAGTATTGTTTCAAGTGTTCTAACGAAATACTTGTAAACTATAATAATTTTTTTCTTCATATTAATGAAAATGTAAATGTCTTATTTTTATTTTTCACTTTGTGGACTTTGTATCCCTTTTGTGACTACCGTCTCACATTAATGTAAAATTTATGAAATCAAATACGAAACTTTCATTTCCCTCTCCTCTCAACAACCTCCATTACTTGGCAACTGTTTTAATAAAGGTTTTACATCATTAACTACTATAAACACGGAAATATAAATTGTAATCAAAGATAAAAAAATTAACTTAAGAGTTTTTTCATAAATAAGTAAACTTATAATTTGAGTGTGCTTAAAAATAAACCAGCATCACTAGCCAGTTAGATCCATGTTTGTCCTGATGAATTTGTCCGTCTGATGCGAGGTTCCTGTCAAGAAGGGTCGTTAGAATTCCATCTTTTCCTTTTAAAACTAGCATAGCTGTAGCTTTCACAAATTGTCTTCTCAGTTTCAAATGATGAGTTAGCCATTGAGGTCCGTTGTAAAGTTCCTGAAACTCAGAAATGGTCATCAGTTCTATTGAAACATAAAATTCATACTAGTATAGCATTATAGCTTCTACCAAGCAAGAGAAAAAATTTACATGATAATATAGCAAGTATTAAATAAGATTTTTCAAACTTAAATTTAAAAACCTATAAAAAAAATTGCATTTGAAATAAAACATTCAGAAAAAATGTAAAAACTATATTTAACAAGACAGGGTTATACTTATATGTTTTAGGGATGCAGAAAACATTATTTTTACATATTAAGCAGTCATATTTATAAGTTTATGCAATGATCCAAAATATTGACTATGTTAAATACACATTTTATAAATTTAGATATGTTTAAGTGTTTCCAGTTATGTTGTCAGTTGTACTAAAAAAACACACAAAAAAACCCCCAATCTAAAATTGAAAAAAAAAAAAAATAAGTTGACATTAAGAAAATTATTAGCAAATTGGTACTCTTCCTTATATCTTTGTTGTAAAGGGGGAAAATTAGGTTACTAATTAATATTGTATAAAATATTCATGAAGGTATATCGCTACGGTTAGTGCAAAAGATCATATGTCACAATTTTACATGTTTATTCTCTTTGCGTTGAAGGTGAAATTTTTTAGTATACAACTACTATAAATAATCTGCTAAATAAGAAAATAGCAGAAGGAAATGAAATATTAAATTATACTAATGAATCATAAAGAAATAATCATATTTATGCAATAATGCAGGTTTATCCTCTTCTGTAAAAAAACGTCAATTTTCACATACAACCTTTCACACTAACAGTAGAAATATATAAATTAAATAGTTCCAGAAAAAAATAAGTGGAAGTGGAATAAAGTTAATTGGACATTTACTCAGAGGTGAAAGTGTCCATATATCAGCCTGATGCTGAGAAACTGAATGAATAATCAATATATATTTTAATTTAGTCAGCAATGGTGTCTAAATAAAACAAACAAACAATATATTCCATTGTTTGTTGATTCAATCTAACCATCTGGTCTTTTATCTAATATAGAGCGATTTATTTTTATGTAGAGGCCTGACGATGGATATCTACAAGCTACATACCCTGTTCACCTTAACTTCCATGCCTTCATATCATGAGAGATTGATTAACCAGTTTCTGTAAGCAGCTCTTAATTGGTTTCTCTGCTCTATGCGTTGGTACTCTGATCCTAGAACACTGGTCATCGTGCAGAGGATTTTTCTCTCTAAAAACCTTTCAATATTTCTTTCTGGAGTGTTGGTTAGTGTCCTGGTCTTACAGAAGTATATTAGAACTGGCTTTATCACCTTTAATTTGAGATTTCTTTAGAATTTTTTGGGATTTCAATAATTCAGTTTAGGCTTATTATAAGTTGGTCTATTTCCAACCGTTGGCTTACTGAGGCTATTGTGGAATCGAGATATTTGAATATGTCCACTCTCAAGAACGATTTCCTTTCTTCACAAATCCTGTAATTTGGGTAAAATTTTTTTATTTGTTATCATATATTTTGTTTTATCTCGATTCACTTATAGGCCAATTTGCTCTGGTTTTCTCTCCAATCTTAGCAATTTTCTCAACGTCCTCTTGATTGCTTCCAAGGACTGCTATATCATCTGCATATCCAAATATGTTATGATTCATTCTGAAGTACATCTCTCTATTTTCACATGGTGTCATTCTTATTATCTTCTCTAGTGCTAAATTGATCAACATTGGTGAGAATTCATCTTTATTTTTATTTTATTTTTTTCTCTTACCCTTCCTTATAGGCTATACAGAGATTTTAATGGGCCAGGGGTGAGGACGGGAGATTAATGCCAGAGGTAAAAGCACTCCTCCCCTCCCGGCACGGGGAAGTGAACTTGAAATTATTTTATTATTTGTTCTTCAGATAATAAGGTTGCAGAGCAACGTGTGTTTTTCACACAAATTAGCGCACTTTGCCATTCCATCCGGTGAGAATCCATCTCCCAACTATTACTTAGTTCGAACTTAGAAGGCTTAAGGTACTTCTCTCAGTATTAGAACACCTCCAACGAACTTTGGTTTTCAGTTTAGACATGATTTTCTAAAGACAGTTCGTGCTAGGCACATTAAGCTCTTCTATATAGTATTATATATTAAAAAAAAAATGTTACATAGGAAAATGATTTTATTTTTAAAATAAGGTTTTTTAATTGTATTTCCTCAATGTCGACTCACATTTTTTAAAATTTTAGTTTGTACTAATTTATTGTTATCTGCCACAGCCAGACTTAAAACTGGGTGTTCCAGGAGTATATTGGCTTACAAACAGACTAACCTACTCTCTTCGACAAACAATTCTAAAAAATTAAGTTTTCTGTTGGAAAATATGGAGACAAAACAGACATGTAGAAGGAGAATGGACAACTGATAAGAAAGCTTTTGAGAAATATTTTCCCAGGATTTCTTGGTACCAAGATTAATTGAAAATTCAAAGCATATGAATCGCCAATGGAGTTAGGAAGAAACCATGAACAATTCCTTAAAAGATATTTCTCAAAGTGAAATGAAATTGTATTCTGAATCCAAACATCCCAGAGAATAATAATAATAAAAAGTAATTTGTGTAAATTACATGTTAGTAGTAATTGATACTACTGAAATAAATATTAATTACATTCATGTGGTAGTTTGATTATGAAGGATGGAAGAGGTTTGAGGTATTTAGATGTACAAGGTTTTTGACTCTTGAGTGAAAATGAATTTTTTTTTATTATTAATCTAAAGTAAGAGATGGTAAGGGAGATAAACAATCTGGATAACCTTTTATTTTATGTTTAGAGCATTCAGCCTCAATACAATTATTTTTGTTCACTTATTGATACTATTAATATTTTATAGTGACTTATGATTAACCACAAACATATCGAAAGAATGGAATGATTAGGTGCAATAGCACGATTCCTCGATTTCATTTATATTTCTATAGAATGATTAGGTGCTGCTATGCAATTCCTTGATTTTATTTGTATTACTATTACTTTTTTTTAATCTTTTAGTGATGATGAGTGGGAAGAGTAGAGGCGTTCTTGATGTTGGAATACTTTTTATCACTTCAACTAAACAATTGTAGGTTTTTATTTAGGGAGCGGGAAAGTCAGTGGGTGAGCACTGACTTCCAGAGCTCAAGGACTCAGGTTCGAATCCTGCTGATGACTAGCAATTTTTCATTAGCCGTGGATCGACCCTGCAGTCAGGAGATCCTCCTGGGGCTTACCCAGCCTCTATAAAATGGGCACTCATAATTAAATAATTAATTAAGAGGTAAAACCTGTGGTTGAGCGTGGTATCAGCCTAATCACCTCCCTGCACAACCGTTGGCCGTGTAACAGTACTTCCTCACATAGTACTGAACCCAAGACCCTTCATGGGCTGAAGTGTTACAGGTTTATTGTTTTATTTATTTTATTGTTTAGCACTGTTCAAAAATCTCCATAATCTCTAGTCACAGAAAAATTACCTACTGCCGCAGGATAGTTTGAAAGAAGAATAGATCACTGAACACCACGTTGTTTAATGAGAAAGACCTCGACAGAATCAACTCATATATGAGCCTCCTGTAGCCTGGGTCCGATTTTACCTTGATTCATATATTAAACGGTTAATTGAACTGTTTTGTACTTTCATTATATTTTGCTGTTTTTTTAATGTATGATTTTATAATAATGAATTTTATGTATGGTATATTTTTTTTTCTGGAATTTACTTCAACATTTTCTTTTATTTGTCTCAAGATTAATTTTATTTATTAATCTATTTAGTATGCTGTGTTGTTAGAAACCCAATGTAATTGGGCAGCACCATTTTATTTTATGATAATAAAGTGATTCTTTCTCTTTTGATGAGATCAGTTGAAGATTGAAATCCGATTTTCTTTGAAAAGAAGAAACTTTCAGTTGGAGAAGTGAACTTTGCCAGAGAAATAGGAGTTACACTATTTCTTAACTATTGTGAATTTCTTAATAAGAATACAAAATGAATATAATAATATAAAAGAAATGGAAAATAACAAGATAAATATAGATAACGTTCTCTACAGTAATATACATATCAATGTATATAGTTAATGAATAAGGAAGTATTCACCACTCACAAGTGTAAAAAAATAATTATCAAATCAAATGAAAAAAAAAAGAAGGGGATGGTCCGGGGTGGCAGTCATAAATAGACTAAATAGTGGCAAAACTATTTTATTAATAGCCGACGTTTCAACCCGATTTTGCAGGTCTTCTTCAGGGAGGTATGTTCAGCAAGGAGTCAGTTCTAAGTGAAACTCCTTGCTGAAAACACCTCCCACAAGAAGACCTGCAAATTCGGGTCGAAACATTGGCTTTTAATAAAATAGCTTTGCCACTATTTAGTCTATTTATGACCACTACCCTGAACCATCTCCTTCCTTAATAATGCAACGGTCAACTATTAATATTTAAGTATTCAATATGAAAAAAACAAAAAACATAAGGCAACAGTGAACAATTACGAAGATTGAACAGTTTGAAGAACAAAAGAAAAGAACAAGTTCAGAAAAAGGAGGCAACCAAAAAATGAAATAGTAATGTGTTTAGTGTCGGGGTATGGTAGTTATTTTGAACATGCATGAATATGAAGTTATTAAGGAAAAAATAAATAAAGAAATATGGATTCATTATGAAAGTTTATCAGCTGAAGCACAAATTTCTTTCAGTTACAGAAGAAAAACTGCAAAGTACATAGGCAGTGAAGAGGGTAGGATCACTTCTTTTGTGATGTTCAATTTGTAATTAAAAAAATATATTGTTATTTTCTAGTTACCTTGGAGAAGATTGGGCATATTAATATTTTTTACTTCCAGGTTCCACTATTCCTAGTTAAAAGACGAATTTCTTAGTTCTAGCATTATTCTTACTAAATAGACCAAGTTCCATAGTTAACATAGATAAGGAAGAATGATAACAAGTTTAAGTCATGTGAAATTTAATATAGTAGCTAAATTATTAAAAATTATAATTGAATTAATATTATTAATCCCAAAGTAGTTATGTATTTAAATTAAAAAAAAATCGAACACCTTCTTTTTCCATTGAGCCTATGTTATAAATACAATTTATCCAGCCTTTTATATCGGAAATTCTCCTTTGTGATCTGCAGTACTTAATGTTAAGTGATTTAATTTTGTTGAATAGAAAAAAAAAATGGAGAAATATTACAACAGACAATTTCATCCTTTATACATAAAGGACATTTAAACTTTGAAAATAAATTATTTATTTTTAAATATATAATATATTTGTCAAGGGCGGTAGGCAGATTTATCTCAAAAATACTATTTTTATAGAAGAGTAATGGTTAATAGGTTATTATAAATTGATATCTCTTCTAATTCATTGATGAATTGATATCCTTTATTCATTTTTTAAAAAAATTTTATATGAAGGCATCAGGAAAAATGGCCTTTATAGTTAACTATTAAATATTCAATAGGTTCTAATTAAAAATTGGCATTTTCGACATTTGATCATTTTATTGCCCTTGACAGATATAAATATGACACAAACATGGCTTTTATTTTATAAACAAATATTGACATTCACTGTCTTTGTTTAAAAAAAATCAAATTTGTAATAAATGTTTCCTCATAAATTTCTGAAATATGATAAGATGTTTTCAGTTTATATTAAAATCTTGATTGTTTTGGAACTGCTTTTAAAATTTTCAATTTTGCCACAATAGCATATCATAAAAAATAGATTGGATTAAACAAAACCCAAGCGAAGCAAACCATGCTAATCATTGGGCATGCTATAGGGACTAGTGTGGGACATATCTGACAATTATAACACAAATCGGTTTTAAAATTATCTACAATTTGAAAAAAATTATTGCAATATAAATAAATAATTTCAAACCAAACTAAACCAACAAAGATCAAACTATGACAATGAGCTGAATGAAAACAGTGAAATAGGTCCAAAAGATCAAATAAAATGCTATGGTTTTACGGTTTCATCAGAATCATTATGATAGTTCAAGTCTTTTATTCATTTACTGACATAATAGGGTTCTTCAGGTGCCTTCTGGATCCGGGTATTCGAGTCTATTCAACCATTTTTACTGATGATTATAGCATTCATTCCATTTTGGGGGAGAGGGCTTTAGTCCAAAAGACACCTCTCCTCTCCTCCCCACCCCAAAAATAAATAATATTTAGCTTTCCTCCACTTTTTAATTATTCTGGTTTTGGATTCAGATATTTATTTGTAGTTTAGAACAATTAAGTTCTACAATGAAATATTTGTCATTTCAAAAGATTTTTTTTTTTAAATTATGCCTCTCTTTATCAAGTTCCGTCTTAGCACTGTTCCATTTTAGATGATGTGGTATCTCTCAAGTTCAATAAGTGCAAACATACACTTAAATGCACTGCATCCATATGTGCTCCCAAATTGCATAGATTTTAGTGTGGAGAGATGTTTCCTAAGGTAGTCGTGGCCTTTTATCATCCAGAACTCTGCCACAGCTTCCTTTCTCAGCAGGTATTTGATCTACTTCATTAAGCGATTTCCTCCATTGCTTCTTCACAGTACTGCTCTTTACAGATTCCAGTAGTAGTGCCTCATTTGCCTTATTTATTTCTTTTCTGGCTGTATGGAACAATATCCAATTTTATGGCTCTATGGAACAATATCCGATTTTCTGGCTGGTTCAATGTCGAGCCTTCCTTAGTGAGTTTATCAGCAATTTCGTTGCCATGGGTACCACAATGAAAGAACACCTCTTTTCCTTGAAGAACTAGTCTCTCGATGATCCTTTGGCGTTTCAGAATGTCCTGAGCAAAGGAGTCACTGGGCAGGAGCCGCCCTTAAGTCCATAAAATATATGATCTTTTTGGCATCTAACTGTGATAATGTTGTCGTGCCAATAAAATTGCTTACAGTTGAGTGTATACATCTGCCCCTCCATTGTGTAGCTTGTTCGGCAGACCAATCGGTGTACACATGAATCAACAGAGGGCCAGAATAACATTTAGAAATTGTTTCAAGAGCCAATGATCTTAGTTCTTCTGGTATAACTTCTTTTTTTTCAATATGATTAATAAAGTTGAGATTATATGGTACTGTTTTTACAGGGAACTGAGGTGGTATTATAGAAAGTGGTTCTCTTTATATTTTATCTTTAAACTGTTAAAGTTTATTTCAAAAGATAATTTTGATTATAATGTCTGGAGCATTTGACTAGAAGTATCTGTTCATGATTTGCAAGAAAAAAACTTTGGAAAAGAAATTTTAACAATTCTTGATCTGGATATATCTCATCATTGTCATAGTAAGAATTTTTCTAAAAAATTACAAAGTTTTGTAAAAAAAAAACAGAACTCGATGACAATTAGAGAGATATCATTCTAAATTGAATTTAGTCCAGGGAATAAACAAATAATTCAGATATGCCACACGTTTTCTTCTTTCTTTTATACCAAATTCAAGGCTTTTTAACTGAACCTGCATATTTAAAAAAGCAACAAGATAAAAAAATAGCTTAGAAAAAATATGATGCAAAAAAGATGCAAGGATTATAATTCAAATGCCATGAGCCACAGGATGCAGTAGGTACAAATTCAGGGCAGCATAAAACAAAATTTTCATCAGGACAAAAATCAAAACAAGTAAAAAAAATTCAAAAATGGATAATATTTTGAAATATGGGTTAAAAAATTATGGTTTAAAAATGCTAAATAGTAGGGCTTTCACATTTGTACCTACTATTAAAAATTGATAATGCACTTAACGTGCAGGCCAATGGACGGCTTTGCGATTTTTTAAACAACGGGGCTCCACACCCCGTGCTGTTTGCATTCCAATGCCCAACTTCCGGGGCCCCCCTCGCTGTGAAGCTGGAAAAAAAACATTTTTGTTTTTCCATATTGAAAAAGAAAAATGAAAAAAAAAAAGACAAAAAGTTATTCTCAATCATAATGACAAGTGTACGGTACTTAATATTATCAAAAAATAATTCTTTTCTATTTATTGTTAAAAAATTTAAATTTTAAGAAAGATCTTGTTTTAGTGAGGATAATATCAATCAGGTATTGTTGTTTTTTCTGATAAATACATATAGCAAATATTTAAGGTTAAATTATTATTTCACTATGTCACGAATACAATTGTGTAAATATTACTTAAATCTATATTGTATGATTATATTGACTCATATACAGATCACTGTACACATAATATTTCTATTTATTGAAAAAAATTATTACTTTTATTTTTTAATTTACGTTTTGTAAGTTTATATTAATTGAATGATTTCCTTTGTTGTTATTTAGTTGATAGATTCATTCAGAATAAAATTGTTTTGCTATTAACAAAACAAAATATAAATTTATTTTGCTGTTATCATGATTGAAATATATAATGATCATATATATAATAATAAGTATTAGATTTTACACGAAAAAAGTTGTAGTTGACCTGGAAATGATAATTATGCTTTGATTAACAGAAGAAGGTAAAAATATCTTAATTTTCATGGATAAATTATTCATTAAATCTTATTAAATTAATTGTTTGTTTCCAACTATCATTATATATTATTAAAGTATTTTCTTTAAAATAGTTACAAATTAAAAAAAAAAATTATTTTATATTGAATTATTTAAAAATCTAGAGATGGATAAATATTTAAATGTTATTAAAGTTATGAAGATGAAAAATAATCAGGATTTTCAGTCTTTGTACGATTTATTAAGGTTGCCGGTATCCTAATCATCAAGGTAATAGTTACAGTTTACTCTAGCAGCAAGAACTCCTAGATATTGAGTCCTTGTTACTAGACTAGACAGTAGCCTAGGTAAATAATAATTATTTAGAACTTAGATGATAATTATAGATTTTATATAATTATCTATTAGGAATAAGAAAAAAAAAATAATTATAGAAAAATATAGTGTCACTAGGTGTCATGTAAAGAATAAAGAAACATACAACATTTAAGTTTGATAGGAACATAAATAACATTCATGCTAATAATGACATTGATATCGGACATACAATACATAATTAGAAATACAGCTTATAACATTTTGATTTTGAAGTAGTGGCGAGTTTGAAGAGAATAAGCTGGAAATGAAACTTAGTTATGGAATAAGTAAAATATATCTACCATTTCTGTTGATGCGATAGTTGGCTTCTGGTGAACCTGAGCAAGAATAATTGAATCTCGTGGTGACTGCTTCCCTTCGAGTTAAACCTTCTGGAGGTACTTGAACGTATGGGCACCATGAAAAGAATTGTTTGAAACCACGTCTAAACCTAAAAATATGATTTACAATATCTAAGAGGGTTAGTTGAAGTAAAAATATTGGTAATAATTTAGGCCTTAGAGGTCTCCAATAATACAATAATTTATTATAATTCTTTTTTTGTTTATTTAATGAAATTTACAGCTGTATACAAATACAGCCAGTAAATATGTACAAATTAGAAATAATGAAATTAAGAGACTTGAAGAGATACTACACAGCGGTAGCACTCCCTAAATAATTCTAGGTAAGAAGATCACGAGGCCATCTCCTGTATAGGAGCTCCTAGGAGGATTATCAGGAATTGAGAAAGAAGCAAGGTTAGAAACAAGTGGATTCGGATTAGACTGGAGTTTATCATGAAAGGATAGATATCTGGCTCGGGCTAAATCAGCGACTTATGGAACATTAATGTCTTTATGAATGGTTTTATTTGTGACAAATTATGGGGCATCACGGATTTTATGAAGGATTTTGGATTGTAAGAATTGGATACGATATGAATTTGATGATTTTGTGGAACCTCAAAGCTCAACTCCAATGTCCATATAGGTCTTATTATAGTTATGACTTTGAAATATTTGTCAATTTTCATCTGAAAAATATAAACAAAATCTCTCAGAGGACTTAATGGTAGACACTAGTCCATTTATAAATTCAATAAAAGCATTAAAAAATAATTATAACAAGCCAAAACTATATAATTAAAATATACAAAACATACCAGCATATAGGAGTTGTTATAATTCTTTTTTAATACTTAATTGAATTTATAAATGGACTAGTATCTACCAGTAAGTTCTTTAAGAGATTTTTTATATATTTCTTAGATAAAAATTGGCATAATGTTTTAAAGTCAGATTGTAGCCCTGAAGATGACTGAAGTGGGGAAAATTTGTATCATTTTATAATAAATTATTTTATTATTTGAGACGGCTAAGGCCTAAATTACTATCTATGCTTATACAAGTCTCTTTCCCATTATCCTCATTTTAATTTTTATTGTAAGTTTATATTAGGTTAGCCTACTGTTTATTTTTTAACATCAGAAATCAATCCTTTTTCTTCACCTTTGCTCTTTTGTCTTTTTTCCAAGTTTTGCCTTTTCTTATTATATATATATGTGTATATATATATATATATATATATATATATATATATATATATATATATATATATATATATATATATATACACACACATATATATATATATATATATATATATATATATATATATATATATATATATATATAGTTGTTATTGTTTCATAGTTATATATAGTAAGCCAGTTAAAAAGAATATATTTTAAAATGTATGTTTCAAGTAAACCATATTATATATTACACATATTTGTTGCTTTAATACATATAACTTAAATTAAATAATGAATAAACAAAAAATCACATTTTCAAGAAGAATTATACAAGAGAACAAATAGTATTGTATTGCCTTACAATTGGACTCAGTGAGTTTTTTCATGGCTATGTTATAGGAGATGTTATGACAATGTCATAAGAACTGTGAAGCATATCCTTATTGAGAGTTCATAGTTTACTCTGAACAATTTTATTTGACATCTACATAAGAAAAAATTATTTAAATAAAAAAGCATGAAGTCACTTGTAAAATTCGCAATATTATATTGTAAGGGTGAACTCGTATTAAGCCAATGACTCTTACACGCTTTTAAATTATTTCTAATAAGGAAAAAATATTTTAATTAATTCACAAAAAATGACAGAAAGATATGAGACTATTCTATCTGAAATTTATTTAAAACTTTATTAGGTGAAAACCACATCAAAAATATAATCCGTAAAAAGTGTCAAAATGAGGAAATAACGCCTTAAGAAGGCTTTATTTTTATTTCTAGTATTAATAAATATTCTTAATTGATTTAATTTTAATTCTGTTATTAATTGTAAAATACAGAGAGTTATTAGCTTTTCATAGATTGAAAAACCTGAAAAAATAGATATTTATTACATCTCAGTAGATGTCTTCAACACATCAAAATAAAAAAAAAATATACACAATATAAGCAATACTTATTATTTACTAAGTAAAATTAAATTAAAATAACAAATTAGAAATTCCAAATAGAGACAAGTTTATGTAGCTTTGTTTGCAATACAGTGAGTATATTTGTTTAAAATGTATCTCAAAAGTTCACTAATATAATTGATTACCTGGTATTCATCCAAAAATATATCATAGGATTGTACATTGAGTTGGACATGGCTAGCCAGTATATCGCTAAATATACTTCTTGTATGTATGGAAGGTTGATGATTTCTGGCATGTGTGACGTAATGATGAAGTATATGTGGAAAGGGAGCCAACAAACTGCAAATATTGCTACTACCACCATCATCATTTTTACCACCTAAAAGAAAAATTTAAGTGAAATAAAATTGGATCAATAAAATGCAGTAGAATCTTACTCATCTAGAATTGAAAATCAAAAATAAATTTATGAATAAAATATGAACATTCTTTAAAAGATAGTTAAATATAAAATATGAAAGAATTTGATAATTAACTAAAGGAGGAATAAGAAATCCTAAAGGAGAATAGTTGTAATTGAGAAACCAAAGGAATACAAACACACTCAAGCTCACTCGAAATATTAGGATAGATATCTAGAACACGCTTCCATACCTAACATAAGCCTAATATAATACGAAGTCCGATAATACTATATAAATATACATATGTGGTTTTCATAAATGCTGTTGTTGGTATTATTTAATATTTAATTGTATAGATTACAGCGATATAAATATTAAAATTTGTATATATAAGGGTACTTATACAAATAAAAATACCCACAATGAAATATAAATAAATATAAAGGAAGGAGATGGTCCAGGGTGGTGGTGATAAATAGTCTAAATAGTGGTAAAACTATTTTATTGAAAGCCGACGTTTCGACCTGACTTTGCAGGTCTTCTTCAGGGCTAGAACGGACAAGATACAAAAGATAGAGAATTGTGGTAGTTACATAGTATTTAGAAAAAATCTATAAACAACGTGAATAAGCTTATTAAAATTATAAACAGTAAGTACATTAAAATATGAACAAAGTAAGCTAAGTAACAAGATCCTAAACTGAAGTAAATAGATGCTAACAATTGTTGTAGTGTAACATATAATAAATGCAAATGTGAATATACTTCTACAGATCTACAGGAGAGATTGAAAGAAAAGGAAAAAGGATATAATATGAAATAATAGACATAGAAACGTCAGCTTTCAATAAAATAGTTTTACCACTATTTAGCCCATTTATGAACGCCACCCCGAATCATCTCCTTCCTTTATAATGCAACGGTCAACTATTAAATATTCAATAAATAAATATAGTGTCTATAATTTTTACTTTCTCTTCACCTTTGTCTGAGAATACTTATTTTTTTTTAAGAAGAGGGTGGAAGTGAAAGTTATAAGGATATATATATATATCCTCTCTCTCTCTCTCTCTCTCTCTCTCTCTCTCTATATATATATATATATATATATATATATATATATATATATATATATATATATATATAGAGGTTATATATATATATTTTTTTTTTCCTGTGCTTTATTTATTATTATCCATTTTTATAAATTTATTTTTGTAAAATTTTCAATCATCCAAGGAAAATATTTTAGCCTGTTCTTATTATTTTATATAGATTCAATATTCCTAAACACACCAATTTAGATAGTTTCAGATAGAAGGAGGTTGAGGTTCTTGAGCCTAGGTGCAATTGAAACAAAAGGGATACTACGCAGTCAATAATAAAAAAATACTTTTTTTATTACATATAATAAAAATTAAGACATATGAAACTGTTATATAAAAGTAATACCCTTCTTTTAGACTTGATATTTTCCAGCTGGCGTTGAGTGCATTCGCCAATACTCTGACTTCCCCAGAGTTCGATGCCTACCCTAACATAGGTGTAGCCCATCGAACCAATTGGAATGAAGTAAGTCATCACCATAAACAGGACATTGTATCTGCAACAAATAATAATTAAAATAATTATTATTAATATATGAATTTGTAATTGCAAGCAGGTGAGGAGAAAGTTGTGGGAAAGGAAAATAAAGAGAAGAAAGAATTTTTAATTTTTTTATTACAGTAACAACAAATTAAATATTAAAGTTCTAATATACAGCTGTAAGACCTGGACACTAACGAGCAGCATAGAAAAAAAAATTGAAAGATTTGAGAGGAGAATTCTTCACACAATAACCGAAGTGATCGGGAATCAGAATACTAACATGTGGAGAAAAAGGATCTCTTGTAGGAACTGATCAATCAATATTTCATGACAGGAAGGCAAGGAGGTTAGGATGGGTGGGACATAAAGCTCCTGAGCGATCCATCATGAAGCCTCTACACATAGAATGCCTGAATAGTAATGAAGAGACCATATGGGAGGCCAAAAACTAGATGGGTTGATTGAATCAACAATGATGCTATAGAGGTGCATGCATAACTTTAGTAGAAAATCATAAATTACAGTCAACACTTTGCAAAAGAACACAATTTCATAAAGAGCTATCCAAATTTAAGTATTTCATGAAAAGATTTAATTTATTGAAGGATGACAAATTATATTATAGCCAACAGATAATACAAAAATTTTTTCATATAATTTGTAGAAATTTCGTAATGGTTTTTATTTTTACTTAAAGAATTAATTTAGATATTTCTAAGAATTATTTTAATTTATAAGATCTTATTTTGGAATATGGCTTTAGTCATAATTTAAAAAAATACCATTTGATTACTTTTGATAGTGGTAAAATTTATTTTTTAGGTATCTTTGCTATACGCTTATATCTCTAAAAAAAATAACAATAATCATAAAATGCTTTTAGTAATTTTTCGATTTTTTATCTATAATTTTAAATTACATTATTCTTTACATTACCACTCCTTAATAACATTCCAACAAATAGAATTCTTTCGTATTTAACAACGAATTTTTGTATTGTAAATAAGGGGTAGGTTGAACCCCTTACGTATGGTAATTTTAAATAATTATAATTAAATATTTATTCGCTCGAAAAAATGTTATCGCTTCACACACACCTCCGAAACTCATCGAATGGTATATATTTTTTTTCTTTCCGCGGCACAAATTGAAAAACAACACCCCAAAGGTTTTATTAACCAGATTGAACAACGTCAGTGAAATGAGATTTGATCTCGGTGAAACGGGAATTTCAAACAGGATTAGAAATTTAAACACAAAATTATAGATTCAGTTAGTTTTTTTTATTTACAATATTTTTTTAAATGTTTTACTTAAATGATATGTTACGAAGATCTGTTGTATACTGAGGTAGCAATTAAGCAAAATGGTAAAGATAAACAGCAGTTGGTTAAAAGCTAATTTAGAAAATATATATTAACTTTATAGACTTGTTTAAAAGAAAATTAAAAATAGTTTTAGTTTTCTTAGTTGATCTAAAAACATTGTTTAGGAATAAATAGTGATTTTTATGAGATTCTCATTTTTTTTTCAATCATAAATTGTTATAAAATATGGTAAAAACGTTGATTTTTCATTTTTAGGTTGAACAAACGATGCATATATTGTATATTATTAATTTAATTTTACTTTTGGATGAACAAGAAAAAAATATATTAAACAGTCTATTTAAGTCAAAAACACAAATTTAAGATTTATTTAAACTGTCACATAAAGCAGTAATTTCTATTTTTGAAATTTTCAGGTTATTATTCAATGATTTTAATAAAAATTAAAAAAAATAAATTTTAATCGAAGTGACTAACAAAGTCACCTAGAAGAAAACTATTTTTTTTAATACTTAAAATCTTGATTAAAATATCTTTAATATATATGTATAATTGTTTCCGCTTCTATCAATTATATATATATATATATATATATATATATATATATATATATATATATATATATATATATATATATATATATATATAATATATAAATATATATATATATATATATATAATATATAATATATATATATATATAATAATATATATATATTTTTAAATTATATATTAATATTTAAAAATAATCACACAGTTATGCCTGATCTGCCCCTTCAGTAACTGTAGAAACAATACCGCTTTATTGAACGGAATTGCGGGTCTGCATGTGATTACAAATGAAGGGGTAATTTTTTAAATTATGGTCTTTCGTATCTTATGCTACCTGTGTATCTCTCCTTCCATTCACATTTATTTATTTTTTTTATCTAGAAAATATTTGGGTTTACAAAACATAGAGATAAATTTGTCTGTAAAACATTGTAAATATCTTAAATATATTATTATTATTATTTGTAACAATCGATAAAAATAAATCATTATTAAAAAATTGCAATAGAAAAATCTGGTCAAAAGGAAATTACTAAACTTCAGTTAAATTTCTCTTTATTAGGTTCATGCAAATTATGAAGAATTTGCAGAAACTATTTAAAATTGATTATTACTATTATAGTTAATTTTAATTTAAAAAATGAGTAATATAAATTTGTTATCACTTCTTTTTTTATAAAGGTACCTCTTCTATTTTTATGTAATTTTTTATTTTCTATTTGTCAACGATCTTTGTCCATCTTCATAATTAATTTTTTTCATGGTTATATATTCTGTTATAAATAATAAAAAAATTGCAACATCCATCTATGACATTTCTAATCCACAACCATTTAGCCATAATCTAAAATTTTTATTAAACAATAAATTATATTTTTTAATTAGTGAAAGTTTTTCATTTACAAAGCCACAGCGCATGTGTCATCTGGGATTGGACTTTTCTTGTAAATTCATGTGTTGATTAAGATCAAGTTAGACAACAATTTAAATGTTTTTTATTTGTATAAATATTGATACTTTTTACTAACCAATGATTAATTAGTTGTTAGAATGTTTTAATATCTCATGATATATAAGATAAGCAATACAATTAAAAAATTTACTCGTCATCAAATAGGCCCATGATAACATTTGGGTTATCCAGGTCTGGTATAGGCAATGAGTAAGATTTTCGATAAGAAAATCGAAATTGTAAGTTGGAAACATCGTAAAAAATCGTTGTAGTAAAAAAAAAAAAGTTAACTCATCTATGTTAATTTTTATTGGAACAGAAGATCTTTCACAAAATACTTAATTCAGTTTTATTTATTTTAAAAAATACTTCGTACCTATTATAAAGTTCCACAAAAGATTTCAGCTGAATATTATTAATTCCAACTTTTGCACCCCTCTCATCGAAATGAAAATGACGCGATATTATAATTAGGTATTTACATTACTTGTAATTAATGACGCTAATGTTTTGTATTTTGGGAGGCTGTTATTATATTATGATTTAAAGTGCATCCGTTCTTTAGTCGTAGCCTTACCCAGGGGCATACGCTAGTATGATATATAACCATGGTGTTGCAGACAATACCTCGCCTACATTGAAAAGGCAACCCCCACCTCCCAACCCCCTTCCACCTATCTTCAAAGGGCGACGATAAAGATCATCCGGAGGATAACGGAGGAGGAACGCACCATCCATTATACTCTTTCACTCCTTCTTCGTAAGCAGGACAATACTAGTTTCCAGGTAAGAAAGGAATAGAGCAGCGGGAAAAAATATCTAGTGGAAGATATTATTTACGGAAATTCAATGTCGGAAGAGAGTGGTATGCTACATTATGGGGCCGTCTAGGAGCCAACTCGCACAATTTTTGAAGGTTTCATAAAAATCGAAATAGAAGTTGTTAAGTCAATGATAAAAGATTTTTAAATCCTTAAAAAAAAAAGAGATTTAAAATAACATATGAGGGGTACCAATGATGATAATTTGAAAAATTGTTCCTTTTTATTTATTTATTTATTTTATTTTATTTTATTTTTTTTATTTACTTGATGTATTTAATTTACTTGATGTATTTATGTAATACAGTTGTAATTGTCATAAAGAAATAAAAAAAAAAAAAATAAAAAATAATTTTTATTATTATTTTTTTTTGTCTTTACATCTTCATCCGCACCTGTCATGGTAGTGACAATCAGCAGATTGGTGTTAAGTTGAACATGTTTCCGCTTCCCAGCAGCACCTCTTCCCTGGTCTGTTTACATCCTAAAATCAGGAAAGGAGATCTCTCATCCAGCTCCTTTTCAGTTGCCTCCTAATGAGCATTTCAGCCGTGGCCATGTCTTTGATAAGTCCATTGTGATGTCCGTGTAGTTTTAGATGAAATCGGGAGTAAAGAGTATGTATGTGCTGGTCAATGGTTGGTTGTCTTAGGTCGGTATGTAAAGTCTTATTGTTGACGTACCAGGGAGCTGCAGTTATTAGTCCTAAAATTTTAGATTGAAAGGATTGTAGTTTTTGTAAGTGAGTCTTTTTTGCTGAACCGTAAATCTGTGAGGCGTATGTCCAAATGGGTTTGAGCAGGTAAGTGTATGTATTTAGTTTTTGTCTAATTTTCAATTTTGATTTAGAAAACAGTGAGTACAGTATTTTCAGTCGCTTGTTCAAACTGTTTCTTTTCATTTTGAAGTGTGGGCCCCAGGTCATCCTTCTGTCAAATATTAGTCCGAGGTAGCGTATACTGTCCGTCTGAGGAATTGGATTGTTGCTGATATAAACTGGTGGGCAAAAAATAATAATAATGATGTATTAAAGATATTTACAATATTTTACGGACAAATTTATCTCTATGCTTCGTAAATTGTAAAAGTACATTATCCAAAATATATTATATATAAAATAAATAAATGTGAGTGGAAGGAGATATATATAAGTAACATATGAGGAGTACAAACAATTATAATTTAAAAAATTGCCCCTTCATTTGTTATCACCTGCAGACCCACTATTTTGTTCAGTAAAGCGGTATTGTTTCTACAGTTACTGAAGGGGCAGATCAGGTAACTGTGTGATTATTTTATAATTTTAATATATAATTTAAAAAGATATATATATATTATAATATATATCGATAGAAGGAGA